ATGCTTGGACATAACTTATTTTACAAAACCATGACTAAATTAAAGCTAGTTTAGGGCATGATAAGATAAATTATTAATAAAATCCACCAGTAAAAAAAACTGTACATTTCTGTCACATGAAAAGCGTAACATGACTTATTGCATTACTTAGTATTGATACTTTTGCAATATATTGTGTGGCACTGTTTTATTTGTTCTTATTGACAATGTGATTAATAGGTGCAGGACTCTGGGGGAATAAGGTGCAGTGTTGAATGGTAAATCGCAGTATTGATCATTGTATCTTGTCTTCTAAACTATAAAGGACTTGGGTCAGCATATACGTTAGTAGTACTAGTAGTATTTAACAGTAGTAGCAGTACATCTATAATACTTGCACTTCTGTGTGAATAGTGTCATTCATTCAACAGTTGAGTTATTGTCCCTGTTAAAGAGAACACTGCTGCAGTTTCAGACATCAGTCATTTTTCAAGTGGATGAGACGAGGTTTGCTGAAAAAAAGTACAGATTTATGGAAGTGTATTTGAGCACATCTACATAACTGACGCCATCTTTGTGTGCTGTTGACATTGGAGGCCGCAGTGGACTGAATTTGGACAGATGGAAGTTAACATTACAAGATGACTATATCAGACGTTTTTGTGTCTAGAAAAGATAAGAGTCCTATACCTCGAGCTTAGTCTGTGAATACACTGAATGCCTTGATGTGCTTCTTCATTGAAGGCTCTTCCCAAGAGCTATTCAATTAATGCAAACACTAATTCATTCATAATTATTACTTTATAGTGTAGGGCTGTGCAATGAATCCTGTTTCAGTCAAATTAGAGTCAATGATAAACATGGGAGTTTTAAGATGAGAAGTAAGCCAATCAAAAGCATGTGGTTTGGAGCATTAATCATTTAACCAGTTAAACCATTTTATGTTAAATGGTGCTTACTCCTTAGGCCTGTCTTGATAATTTTTGACTTACTGTTCAATATGTGATTGATGGACTTTTTAAACAAAAAAAAATTATTTATTTTTTATTTTTTGCATTTTTGGGGTCAGTATTTTTCGTGGATACTTTTGCTTTCTATTAGTGGGGAACTTTTGGTTATTTTCTGGGCTATGATCAGACATGAGCTATTGAGGTTAGAATAAATAACTGCTATGGCTCAGAGTAAGTAATCATGTGCTTCATTCATGTTCATTAAAAATATTGTATGCTTAATTCAATATTATCTATATTTACATCAGCTCATCATATCTGACTTCAAAATTTCTTATCGTGACAGGCCTAATGGTACTTGTTCAAAATCTGTCTTGTTTGTGTTATTTAAATTAAGATTTAAAGTCACTTAAATAGTTTAATAAGTAGGGCTAGGCCTTAGTTGTTTGGTTGATTAATCAGCTCAGCCAACATTTCTATTAGTAGCTTATACGGATTTATATGGGACAACAGCAGGAGGGAAAAGGTTTTAACTGAGTTTGTTGAAGATTTGGGAATGATTTGGGCGTTTAATCTGCCTTTTTACATTATAAATACTTTTATTCCTAATACTTTCTACATAAATGGTTGTTTTTACTTGATCTCCTGTGCAGTTGTACTCCTTACTTTAGTTTGGGTTAGATGCATAGAAATACTTAATAGTTTTGAGAGCTTTTGTCACGCCCCCATTTTTTTATTGACTAATTGATCAGCAGGACATGTCTTTAGTCAACTCCATATCCTATTAATAAGTAAATACAGCTGAATAGAAAATCCTGCCCTCCTATAGTTTTGTAATTATTCTTGTGTGTTTCTCTAAACTCAGAAGACAGAAGTTAGGTTTGGCATCAGAAGTAGCCAGTTGAACAATGTTATTATTATTATCTAAAATGAGACTAATTGAGACTAATTGTGAAGTGAGCATGATTTAAAGTGACAGTTTGATGGACCATCTCCAATCTTCACCAATGAGTGTCCCTCAGCTGTGAGAGAGGACTATTCTTCCCCTTTCTCTCTCTCCCATGACTGCGGCCATGTTTGTGAAACCACAGAACAGGCTCTCGTTCTTTCCCTCCCTCCGTCTCTCTCTCTCCCTCCCTCCCTCTCTTTTTCTGTTTTCCTCTAAGCCCCTCCCCTTCCCTGTCCCTCTCTCCTCCATCTCCCTCTTTTCAATCTGCTTCCCTCCATTTTCTCCTCTCTCGCTAGTCTGCGCTGCACTGTATGTACCCCCCTCACATGGTACACCCCTCCTCTTTTTCTCTCACGTTGCTCTGTCTATCCTGTCGTTTTTTTCCCCTGCTGTCTAGCGCTCTATCTATCTTTTCCATCCTCCCTTCCCCCATGTAAGTCTTTACTCTCTCTCTCAGCAGAGATCTAGTTATCTCCCCCACTGCCTCACCCTTTCGGTTCCTCTTTCATTTCTCAGTAACTTCTCTGTCTCTCTTTCTCTTTCGTCTGATTTCGCCCCCATTTTGTCCTCTGCTTCTTCTCTTTCCCTCCATGTTCTCTCTCTTTCACTCCCTCCCCCCTCCCTTTTCTTCTCGTTCTCTCCCTCCCCCTCTCTCTCCTCCGCTTTCAACTGATTACACTCCATGTTGTCCTGCATTTTGCCTTTCTCTTTCCCTCCATTTTCTCTCCTTCTCTGTCTTTTCTTCCTCTCCCCTTCTCCCTCTGTTTTGGCTGATTAGGATTTTGTCCTCTGCCATTTTCTTCTCTTTCTTTACCTCCATGCTCTCTTTCTCTCGCCCTCTCGTCTTTCTTCTCGCTTTCTTTCAGCTGATTACACCCCCATTTTGTCCTCTGCTGTTTTTCTCCTTCTCTTTCCTCTTCCTCCATGCTCTCTCTATCCATTTGTTCTCCATTATTTCTCTTGACATTTTTTGACAAATTATAGCGACACATTAGAACATTTTTGTGGCTACTAAAACAAAACACAATTGAAGCATGTTTGGGATGAAATACTATTCAACAAGTGGCTGAAGCGCTACTTTCAACCTCCCCAGGTACCACGGCCAGGTCTCACGGTTGTTTCTGTGCACTTAATGATAGTGATCCATACAAAATACTATGTAAAAAAAAAACAAAAAACTAGAAGCCCACCAAGTCAAAATCACTACACAACTGGAAAAGTAATTAATCCTCATTATCATATTTGATCCCTCAAGCAACGCTATTAGTATTTTTATTTTTTTTTACTGTGATTAAGAGATTAACAGAAAAAACATTGATTTGAAGGTACGTTGCTCCAGCCATTATAGCAAAAGTTTAACAAAATGCTCTTTTTAACAGGGTTAATCTAATCCAAAATGTGTTGTCTTTTAATACACTGTTTTCCTCAGAAAACCTAAGTCTGTTGGCATTGCAGTTTTAAGCGTGCATCATCTTTGCTTTTGAGTTAAACTTCAACTACTATTTTATGAACTCCTAACACCAGTCTGACTCAAAGCAGATTCTAATGTCAAATTTGTGAAATGTGCAAAGTTCATAGGAAACATTTCTGTATTAGAGATGTTTCTGTTCAGCTGTAATTCTTCCTTCAAATGCCACAGAGCAAATTTGTATAAGTAAAGTCTTTTTACATTAGTGTATAGGCCTAACCTAGACAGCGGTTAGTACCATACATTGACAAAGTTACAACATCAGCCAACATGTGCTTTACACTCAACACACTTATGTAGTCAACTTTACTTTACATCCTTTTTGCATTTCTTATTCTTTTACTGCATTCTGTTCTGCCCATCCCCCTTTCTCTCTTGCTCTCTTTTCACTCCCCCCTCTTTCCTTTTTTCTCCCCTCCTGTTCTATTCCTGCACTAACCCCCCCTCCCCCGTCTCTTTCTCCTCCTCCTGTTCTATCTCTGCATTGAATCTTCTTCTTCTCTTCTCTTCTTTCTCCCTCCCCCCTATCTCTTTCTTTCTCCCCCCTCCCATTCTACTCCTGCGTTAACTCTTCCCTCTCTCTTCTCTTCCTTCTCTCGACCTATCTTTCTGTCTCCCCCTCCTGTTCTATGTCTGCGTTAACCCTTTTTTTCTCTCTCTCCATCATCCCTCTTTCAATATCGCCCTCTAATTCTATCATTGCACTAAACCTCCCCTTTTGCTCTTCCTCTTCCCTCACTCCTTTCCACCTACTCCCTCCCTTTTTATCCCTGCACGAAACCTTTTTTCTTCTTCTTCTTTCTTTCTTTCTTTCTCTCTCTCTCTCTCTCTCTCTCTGCCCCCCTCTCTTTCACCCCCCCTTACTTTCTCTTTTCCTCTCTTCCTCTTGCAATCTATGCCAGCACTAAATCTTATTTCTTTTCATCATCCCTCTCTCTCTTTTTCTCATCCTTTCTCTCTCCCCCTCCCTTTCTATTCTGGCACAAACCTTTCTTCTTTCTCTCTCTCTCTGTCTGTCTGTCTTCTTTCCTCCTTCCCCACTCTGTCTCTGCATTATACATTTTTTTTCTGTCTCTCTCTCCTCCTATCTCTTTTAATCTCACCCTCTCAATCTATCATTGCACTACCTCCCCTTTTGCTCTTTCTCTCCCTCTCCCTCTCTTTCCCTCACTCCCTCCCATTTTACCCATCCCCCTCCCTTTTTATCCTATACATGAAACCTTCCTCTCTCCACCTCCCTCTATCTCTTTCTCTCTTTCTCCTTCCCTCTTCCTCCTTCCATTCTATTTCTGCACTAAACCCTCCTTTTTCCACCCCCCTCTCTTTTTCTCACTCTTTCTCTCTCTTCTCCTCCTATTCTGTTCTGACATTAACCCTTCCATCTCTCTTTCTCTTTTCTTTTCTTCTCTTCTCTAACGTTCTATCCCGGCATTAAACCTTCCTCTTTTCTCTTTCCCTCCCTCCTCCTCTCTTTCACTCTCCCCCTCTTGTTTTATCATTGCACTAAACCTCCCCCTCTCTCTCTTTCCCTCCCTCCCTCCCATCCCCCCTCCCTTTTATGCCCACATGAAACCTTTTTCTCTCTCTTTCACTCTCTCTCTCTCCCTCCCTCCTCTCCTTGCATTCTATTCCTGCTCTAAACCCTCCTTTTTTCACCCCCCTCTCTCTCTTTGTCTCGCTCTCTCTCTCTCTCTCCCCCTCCCTTTCTATCCCTGTACAAAACCCTCCTTTCTCTCTCTCTCTCCATCATTCTTCCCTATCATCCGTTTGCTCAACTCTTTTTCCACCACCTCTTTTTCAACTCTCCTCTCTAGCCTGGGCTCAAAGCTTGGACACTTTGGTCTCCACATAAGATAAGGAAAGATAAGAAAAAGAAATGGCGAACCTCTCAAAACAAATCAAATTTAAATTTCTTCTCAGATATGTAAGTAACTCTGCGATATGTTCTGAGATCTCGGCTGGACATTGAGGTCAGTTTTGTGATTTGTAGATTGTTGTTGTTTGTGTGGTCTGCATTAGTAGATCCACTGCTTGTACTAGAGACAGTTTGAGGAAGAGGAAGGTGGGACGTGTTTGCGCCCCGCCTCTTACTGTCCTTTACATATATAGATCACACGGACAGTCTCTCCTCACTCACAATGAGATCTTTAAAGCACCTGAAGCCTTACAAGAGAAGTCTGGTGAGTCAACTTCTATTAAAATTAACATGAAGCTGTCAATGTTTCTGGGGAAATGAGTTTGCTATAGCTGAAAATTTTGAAAAAAAGAATCAGAATTAACTGTAGTGTTGTTCCAGTGAATAATCTGCATGTTTTGTAAATCTGCAGTTTTGCCTCTTCTTTCTGTCGTTTACTGTGCGTCTCTGTCATCTTTTTAGTGTCTGCTCTATCCATCCTCTCTTCCCTTTTTCCCTTTTGTATCTGTCTCTCTTTTCTTATCGTCTGCTTCTCCCTACCTTTTATTATTTTCTTCTTTTTTCAGTTTGAAGACTAATAACGCTTTGGTTTTCTTCTTATTTTGTGCGAGTTGACTGTTTTTGTTTTTTTTTATCTTGTCCTATATTGTTTCATTTTCTATTTCACCTTTTTACGTGTCTCCATCCAGCTTAGTAGACTATATAGTAATTCCCACAAGCACATGTTACACACATCTGCCATACTTAGAGACTCAATGAGCTACTAGGGCATCTTGAGGGATAAGGTTTTACATCATGTTGTTTTCTAAGGTTTATTAGGAGGAAATTATTTTTTTGTTTTGTTGTTGTTTTTTTCCCCCAAACATTTCTCTGAATGTGTTTACTGTCGTCTTGTCTTGGCTCTGTCCTACACCTGTCCATATTTTAAGGGCTTAATATTTATGGTGTGTACTAGTAGAGAACCATTCTTAATTTTTTGTAATACACACATTTTAGCTGTAAAGGATGAATAATTTACATAAATGACTCATTTAATGTACTTTAGGCTTTAGGGTTTTTTTTGGTTTTTTTTTTCAATATGGAAAAAGAAAAGCGTTGTCAGTATAATAAACTAGTTTTAGTTGTATTATTTACTGTGATATTTTCTGTAGAAATATATCACACTTCAAAGTTTGTTATGATGTCAGGCCTCATACTCTTATTGCAGGTTGTAGGGTTCTAGCCATTTAACTGCCAGGAGTATCTTCAGATGCGCTTTCTAAAAGCTATGTAAAGTGTCAAGTTCTGACTTTTGCATTACAGTTTAACAGTAAGAGTTCTTTTCTTTGATTATTTCAGGGAGTGTGTATTAGATAAAATGTGTCTTTGCAAAGCCTGACGGTGCTTGTTGTGTATGTGTGTTGCAGGAGGAGGCGAGCTGGCGCCGGGGTAGATGTGAACCCAAGGTAATGGCCCGGCTGGTGGACACAGGCACACAGACAGATCCAGTGGTTGTGCTGTCCTTGGCCCAGGCTGCCGTGCTAGGTCTCATCTCACAGAATGAAGTTTTCGGAGCTACCATTGCACCCAATGGCTTCTACACTGGTGAACCTAAAGAATCCCCTGCCCCCCCAGTAGACGGAGTAGATTACGAGTACGCAGACCAGCTTATTGGAGCTAACGGAGATTACCTCGGAGACAACTTAGGAGAGGACGGACAGATGCAACCCAGCTGCAGTCAGAGGAGGTGGCAGCAGGGCCCTCCTCAGCATCAGGAGGCTAAAATGGTGGCCCCTGAGCGCCACAACCACCCAGGGGGGGACGGGGCTCATGTAAAAGGGGAAGTGGTGAGCTCTGGGATGTCCTCATGTGTTCACATGCTCAACAACATGGCCCCTAGAGGTGGCCTAATCCAAGTAGACCCAGCCACTCTGAGAGTCCGCAATAAAAACTGTGTAGAGTGTGAACGGGAAGCATCCACACAGCAGCAGCAACAGCAGCAGCAACAAGCTCCTGTTCATACGCACCCTCCTCCAGGCCCTGTGAGCCACAGAGGAACTGAACCTCCAGCCCACAGAGGATTGCAAGCCCCGAGGCCCATGGGAGCTCATGGGCGAGTGGCCAGACAAGAAGGAGATGGGGTGGAGCACCAGCCGAACAATATGATGAAGCCTGCGCAGCCAGAGGAGGCAATCAGCAGCTACTTCCAAACCAGCGAAGTGGGCAGTTATGACTCCAACGAAATGGGAATGGGCGGAGAGTATGAGGACAGTGGCCAGGGCATGATGTGGACTGATGGGAGCGGAGGGGGGCAGCATCCGCCACCTCAGCAGCCCCAGCCTACACGCCGCCAAGGGGGCCGCAGAGTAGACCGGCTTGATATCAATATTCAGATCGACGAGTCCTACTGTGTGGATGTTGGTGATGGCCTCAAGCGCTGGAAGTGCCGTATGTGTGATAAGTCCTACACGTCTAAGTACAATCTGGTCACGCACATCCTGGGACATAGTGGCATCAAACCACATGCCTGTCCTCACTGTGGGAAGCTCTTCAAACAACCCAGCCACCTCCAGACTCACCTGCTGACCCACCAGGGAACCAGGCCTCACAAATGCACCGTGTGTAAGAAGGGCTTCACTCAGACCAGCCACTTGAAGCGCCACATGCTGCAGCACACTGACGTCAAGCCGTACAGCTGCCGCTTTTGTCGCCGTGGTTTCGCATATCCCAGTGAGCTGAGGGCCCATGAAGTGAAGCACGAGCGTGGGCGGTGCCACGTGTGCTCACAATGCAGCATGGAGTTCCCCACCTACGCCCACCTAAAACGCCACCAGACCAGCCACCAGGGCCCCCACACCTTCCAATGCACAGAGTGTAACAAGTCCTTCGCCTACCGCAGCCAGCTCCAGAACCACACCCTGAAACATCAGAGCCCCAGACCTTACACCTGCTCCCAGTGCGGCCTGGAGTTTGTGCAACTCAACCATCTACGGCAGCACTCACTCACACACAAGGTACAACCACCCATAGCACTGCTATAAGTTGTAACTGTACTTGTGTTAAAGGTCCTAGGTTAATCAAGTTTGAGGAGTAGTACTATGCAGTATTTATTTTATACATACATGATTCCTTCACTTTAGATATACTAAGAGCCTATGTAGTTGTTGGTAAACCCCTCAAACAAATCAACAACACTGAGCGCACAACTAGGAGATTAATATTAAGTTATAACTGCCCTGCATGCAGTATTTACTGTGAGCATATATATAAGTTTACAATAACAACTGTCATTTTAGCACATGAATTCAGAGTATTATATTTTAAATGATGGATGAACTTCTCATATGTACTCTGCCCCCTGGTGGAGAACATCAACTGCACAGTTACTTGTGCTATTATCGTGGCACAGATGGATTTCAGTGCTTTAGATACTACAGTTTCATATTTTTCTAAAAATATAATAATTCTTAAATAATTTTTGTTATGGATGTAGCAAAATTAGTCCTTTTGACAGTTTCTTGTATCACTTAGGTTTAAAACCTGCAGCAAAAAGTCTAGAGTTATTTTCAAAATGGCTTTAATAGATTCAAAGTGTATTAGATTGTATGTATGTATATGAGTATTGTATGAGTATTTACTATATCTCTTTGCTGTCTGTTGGGCGCTGCAGGGAATGAAGGGTCACAAGTGCGAGGTGTGTTCGAGGGAGTTCACTCTGTCGGCCAACCTGAAGAGACACATGCTCATTCACAACAGTGTGCGGCCATTCCAGTGCCATGTCTGCTTCAAAAGCTTCATCCAGAAACAGACTCTCAAGACCCACATGATAGTGCACCTGCCCGTCAAGCCTTTCAAATGCAAGGTCAGTACTGCACCTCCACTAAAAATACTGTGTCATTTAAACTGTTATTTATGTTGTTATCATCCTATTGTTTTCAGGTATGTGGCAAGTCTTTCAATCGAATGTACAACCTCCTGGGTCACATGCACCTCCATGCGGGCAGTAAGCCTTTCAAGTGTCCTTACTGCACCAGTAAGTTCAACCTGAAGGGAAATCTGAGCAGACACATGAAGGTCAAGCATGGGATGGATGTGTCACCGGAAACGCAAGGTAAGATCAATCACTGAAATAAAGTGCGTCAAAGATATTTTACTGACGGTACTGATTTCTTGTTCAAATTCATAAAATGCAGCAAAATCTGACCTTTTAGCAGCAAATAATTGCATGTTATTAAATCTGAATCCAAGTTTATTTGTTTAATTTATTTACTGTTTAGAGGTTCTAGAGTTTTACGTTTAGTCTAAAGTGTCTTAATGAAAAATGTGTTAGTAAATATATATGATACAGTGAATAATTTCATTATTTTGATTTGAATCATCTAAAATTTAAGCTCATAAAATGAACTGGGGGCGAAGAAAAGGTTCACTTCACTTGAATCCTTTGTTTTTGCAGAAGTGCTACCAGAAATGGAAACCCAGGGGGAATATGAAGGACAGAACTTCAACTATACCTCACCAGACAATATGGACAACGGTGGCTCCCAAAACCTCACAAAGCTCACAACTGCAAACATGGAAGATATGGAGGAATATTACAACTTTGGGAAGGACACAAACAGCTACACCTCTCCTTGAGTGGAGACACACTCTGGGTTTTTACTGAGGAGGCAGCGCCCTGGACTCCAGATAAACGGAAAGAAACGAGACACTTCAGATGACACATTTTCTGAACATATTTTGGAGCGCTTTTTTGGCACTTCCTTTTTCAGAGACAAATATGGCAGGCAGACTGTCACATATGTACTATGTTCTCTGTTTGTCGCAGTCAAAAAAGAGCCTACAGTCCCGTTTAAAGTAACAGGTTTACTGTTTTTCACAAATCACTAACGTATGTCCTTTTTAAGTACAGTGCATCAGACTGAAAGTGCCACAGACTTGTGCAACTCAACTTCCAGGCTGACTATATAATCGCTATAAACGGTAAATATATATACTTATATATAGATATCCAGTTTTCTATGATTATTAAATAGGTTTGAAGTACTCTTCCTAAATGTAGGTAACCATTCCATACTTAAACATAAAAGCTGCTGGTGCGTTGGTGCTTTTTGCACTGGGCATTGCAGCCTCATTCTAAACAGGGCACTGGCTACAGACGTTGCTACTGTCCCATGTCAGGATTACCACTGTTGCTGGCATGTAAAACAGACTGTATAAATATTTGACAAAATGCAGTGTTAATCCAATTTTTACATGGTTTAGTTTTACATTAATATCAATCTACTGTAGGAAATCTACCACTTGTGTCTGCATTACAATACAATACAAAGCACTTTTTACAAGATAGCTATTATTTCTGTGAAGCCCACCTTTGGTACATAAAACAGTTTTTTTTGTTTGCTGGTAAAGGACCAGATCTATTTTCATTCCTTTCAATTCTGGTTTCCTTCTATAAGAGGGCATATCAAAATATTGTGGAGTTGAAAGTGATTTGATTGTAATCTTGGTCCTCATTGCTCTGATTTAGAAAGACTGTTCTTCCTGTCCTGCCATGCAGGTCAGTGTTGTTATGCACACTAAACCTTATGAATGATCGAATAGTTCTTTTATGTTTAATTTAAAGATGAGAACTTGTGGCATTAGACCATGGATTATTTAATAAATGTTCTCAAGATGGCTTTTGTTGTGTTTTGTGCAAGGATTGTGATAGCATGGGTATATTCTATTTTTTAACTTTTGCCTTCTCATTATTGTACTGGTACTTTTTTTTATACAGTCTAAAAAGTATTTGCAGTAATATACCTCATTCATTTTATGCACATTCCAATATAGTTGTTGACCAATGGATGTTAGGGCAATGTTAAAGAAACTACAGTTGTTTATGGTTTATCTTTTAAAATTAGAGAGAAGTTGATAGAATTTTCAAATGAACATTTGCTATTGCTCTGTGCCACAGATCCTGTTATGCCCCCTGCTGGTAGAAAAGAGGCTTACTGTCACCACAGTTTTGTTCACAAATTCTGTCTGTATTGCACAGTTTCTTTAACTGCCTCTTTAGTATTTAAACAACATAATCCAATAAGAGAATTATCCAAATAATAATTATTTTTATATTCATGTACAATTTGTGATTTAATAAGAAAATGATACAACAAAATCAGTTGTATATTAGAGATTTTAAGAATGATTTGTGTTTGGCAATAATATTTACAGTACTCCAATTCCTATTACAAAAGATGGCTGGTTTCAGAAAGACAAATAGAGGAATGTGGGTTCATTGAACGGTACAGATAAGAAATGACACGTATAGCACATGTACTTATAAAAGGTAATACATGTTACTCTGTTAAACAATTTTACTAAGTACATTTATAATTTTTCTAGAGCTTTGTCCAGATTGGTCTTGATTGTGTCCAAGAAGTCTGATGTGTTCACATAATGTTCATTTATTTTGCAGCTGTTTGAAAAAATTTCAGGGTTAGGACTAATGTTATCATAAATATGTGTTTGGGAATTGAACTGACATTCAACTGAATTACTTACTTGGCCAGACCATGAATGCAGCCGGCAAGATCTTTGGTCATGACACCATTTTCTACTGTTTCAATGCAAACCTTTTCTAAGGTCTGTGAGAACCTGAAAAATGCGCAGTTTAAAAGAAAACCTTGTACTATACAGCATTAAGTTTTATCCTTATACGAAGTAAAAAATATACTTGATTAAATCGTGGTTTCCATCCAGCTTCCCTCTGTGTTCCAGGCCTCGAGTCCAAGCAAATATACTTGCAATTGGGTTTGTACTCGTGTGTCTCCCCTTCAGAGTGAATGAAAATCATATATATATATATATATATATATATATATATAAAAATAAAAAAATAAATAATACCACAATGTAAATAAACCTTCTCTTTACCCGCTGATGTTCCCGGTAATGCCTGGTCACTGTGCCATGGGCTGCCTCTGCTTCAATAGTTTTACCATCGGGACACACTAACACAGAAGTCATCAGACCAAGTGAACCAAAACCTGTATATTAAACAATGAGACGATTGCTTAATTGTAAACCAAAACATCACAAGTGAGCATTAATCTCATATTTGTGGCTTAAAGAGTGCTAACCTTGAGCCAGGATGTCTGATTGCACATCTCCGTCATAGTTTTTGCAGGCCCAAACAAAGCCCCCAGAAGATTTGAGGACCTGTGCCACCATGTCATCAATCAGACGGTGTTCATACCAGATATTCAGCTTGACAAATTTTTCTTTATAATATCTGAGAACAACAATGGTATGACACACAAAAGGCATTCAATGCTTTCTTAAAGAAAATTTCAACTGAATCTATGAAAAAATTTAAATAATAGAAAGTGAAATGAAGCCTAACCAAGACTGCAAGACTCCGGTACTGGATAAAGTTTAAAAAATTATTTGATATTATGTTTACTTTTCAAAGATGTCCTCAAAGATGTCCTTAAAGCGTCCATCATAGGCCTTGAGGATGGTGTTTTTGGTGCTCATGTACAAAGGCCATCTTTTCTGGATGGAGTACTGGAAGCAGCTGTGAGCAAATCCACTGATGGACTAGAAAAAATAAATATCCACCAAGCTCACAAAACGTGTAGATAGATATTACATATTACATACATATTATTGTATCATTAAGTAAATAAAAAAAAATTAAACATGCATTTCTTACATCATCTGTATTGTACATTCCCATTCCACAGCCTCCAGAGGGAAAGTCAAACACATCCCACTCTTTGGCTTGGCTTCCATCCGCAGGGGCAAACACTATCCTGAACTTTCCCGGCTTATTAACCACAAAGTCTGTGGCCCTGTACTGAACGAGTCAATATCAAATAAAAATCACCAAAAAAGATCAAATCATTAGACTTTAAATAAAACTTAGACGAGTCTACCTGATCGCCAAATGCGTGTCGGCCAATGGTTATGGGCTGTGTCCAACCAGGAACAAGACGGGGGATATTTTTACAAAGGATTGGTTCACGAAATACTGTTCCCCCCAAAATATTTCTAATGGTACCATTAGGACTCTTCCACATCTTCTTTAATCTAAACTCTAATGAACAACAAATTAATTAAGCTTTCTTTGAATAAAAAAGATATAAAGAACAAAACATACCCTCAACTCGATCCTCATCAGGGGTGATGGTAGCACATTTGACAGCCACATTGTATTTGAGAGTGGCGAGAGCAGAGTCCACTGTGACCTGGTCATTGGTCTGGTCTCTGTACGGCAGACCCAAGTCAAAGTACATAAGCTCCACATCCACATGGGGAAGGATCAGCTGGTTGTACACAATATAGATTTTTGTTCAACATTTGTGTTACTATAGAATACACCACAAAGTATGGACAGATCAGACATGACTTTATAAATGCTTTGTACATCAAATTGCCACAATTTAACTGTCTGTGGTTGAAGTAAGTAGTCTGTAGTCTGTAATGTCACAGCTGGGTAGAGTAGCCAAAAATTTTATCCAAGTAAGAAGAGTAACTTCAGCTACTTCAATTACTTCAAAGTAATATTACTCAAGTAAAAGTAAGTAGTGCTTCAAGAAATGACTCCAGTAAGAGTAAAAGGGTATTGGGTAAAAGTACTACTCAAATGGTAACACTTTATAATAAAGTATATCTACAAATCCTTTGTAAATGTTTATTAACCATTAACTAATGATTTACTAAAAATGACTTACTCATTAACAAGTGTTGTAGAGTTACTCACAGTGGGAGGAGTAACCAAAACTTTTAGTAAAAATATTGCTACTTCACTAAAAAATATTGCTCAATAGGAGTAAAAGTACTCTGGAAAGTACAAGTAAATGTAACTGTATACTACTCATCTCTGTGTAAGGCTATAAATAATGTAACAAAAACTGAAGTCAGTACTTGTGTGATTATACAAAAATGAAATCAGAAATCAAAACACAACAGTAGTCTGTTAGGCAGACATGACATTTGACTATATGTAAAGCAAACAGGGTTTAGCAATATACAATCACCTGTCATATGCTTCGTGTACAACGGATGCATTAAGCAAATATATTCTCACCTTCTCTTTTATAAATGTCCAAATGATTCGCGTCATCTCATCTCCATCCATCTCCACCACTGGGTTATCCACTTTGATGCGTTTAGTTGCATCTGGAAATGATTATAAACACAGATTACTGTAATATCAAAGATGCGCTACACATAGTTATTATACATTTACTTTACTTTTTTTTATTATTATTGAATAGCTTATTACAATATTGAATTGTCTGAACTCAATATTAACTCCTGTTTCTGCAGAAGAAGCATAAGAAGCACAAGCACAAAGGAAAACAAAGAAAAAAAAAAGTTTTTATAGGTGTTTTTGGTTTCTCTAGTCCATGTTCACTCACGGCAATAATCATCACATTTATTGTTGAGTTATCTACGGCTTCATAGAGTTATCTGATTATTTTAGTTCTGTGACTTCTGTGACCGCGTAAATGTAAACCTACCCAATCGCTTGCAATGGACAAGACAATGGCTGCGGTTACATGCACACTTAAAACCTGATTAGATATATAATTTTTGGACAAATAAGATCTAAAATCATAAGTGAAACGGCAAAACCGTCTTTTTCATCATGGTACCTTTGCCTACACATCGGATTTTGCCGTTTGCAGGTCATTTAAATAATCCTACAGGTAATCTGCAAGTGTGCTGTGTGCTCTTGTAGGACCAGGTGGTGTATCATTAGGGCTAATAATATATTCAAGTTAGTACTTACAGTTCCTCCTTTGCTGCAATCTGTTGTAACAACCGGCTGTAGGTCCGAAAACTGCAGGGTAAATAAACAGCTCTGCATTTACAGCCCTTGTCACATGGACCAACGCTTTAAGAGAACGGGACATTTCAAGATTTTTAGGTCTGGCGTTGATCAGGATCCTTTGACTTCTGAATGAAAGTAATTCGTCAGTTTGTCAGGAGGTACTGTCATGACCCACGTCAGCAAGTTTGTGCAAAATTGAACACGATTGGGCGGTGGACAGGCTTTGCGCCAATTGGGGCAAAGCGCAGACTATAGTTGGGAACGCGTGGTTTCCAGTTCAGTATGACTTTTCCTCATTCCGTCAATACATGCCTGGTTTCGCAATTTCATTTGTTTCCAAATAAATAAGATATACAGGCCTAGCCAAATTCTGGAGTTAAAGACACTATAGCTATAAAAAGCCCTGCTAGGCTATAGAAAGCCATAGAGAAAGAAGCACCTGTGGCAATTGGTCTATACATGAATAAAACACTTTTATTGAAAACAATGACAAGTTTGACAAACATTTCATATCGCCACAATTATCTCAGAAATGTAAATTAACACAAAAAAGTACAATATGGAGATGATATGGACATGACTGAAATCAGTTAAAAATATTAAATTACAAAATGAAAAAGTTTTTCACTGCTTAGAAATAAAACCCATTATAGCCCACAGTTCCCATTCCAGGTTAAAATAAATAAAGAACACATTAAAACAGATGCAGTAACTATGATTGCAATCTGCAGATGAGCAAACTGTAAACCTTTTATCTTTATCTCAAACAGACCTGGACATCTGTATCAGTAACAGTAATTAAATCCACATATGGAATACATTCAGTAAAATAGCTATGTTAATTATATTTTTGGTCTTTTAACCGACAGGCACAAAGTGAAATCATTTCAATCACTGGCTTCAGTTAATAACTCATGCATATAAATGATCTCAAAACATTTAAAAAATAAAGTACTATCCTCAAATTGCAATGGGGTGGTTATTTTCTAAAATGATTTATAAATGAGGCTTGTTTTGCACAAAATTATATATTCCTGGTAATGTCTGATGGGAAATCATGCAGTTTTATGGGCTATGGTGCAAACTAAAATTAATATTGGGAAACTGAAGCTTTGGAGGAGGTCTGACACCTGTCATTGACACCTGTCCTATTTATGTGATGACCATCATTTGGAATTTCAAATTGCACTTTTTCCTTAAAAAGTAACATTTATTTATTTTCCGTACCTAATTTTATGCTTGCATGATTCATTAGTTCAACAAATCAACATCCTACAAAATTTCAATGTATCTTCAAGCAAGAATGTTAAACAACTCAGTGGTACTCAACATTTGTTTTCACACTGAGATGCTGAGGCAGTCTTGAAGCTGATGAACAGTAGCCTAAGTTTATGTGCTGACAGCCACAGGGCCTTTCTTCTCAGTAAAGAAACTTTTTAGCATCATAACTTGTCCGATGCCAATTACAAACAAAAGGACTGTTTCTCCAAAGGACCAGTAAGTGACACGTTCTAGCAGATGCTCTGCCTTTATTCGGTCGTGAGCCTCCCTGAGTCTGGCCCAAGTCTGTGATTCAACCACCACCTTCAGGACTTCATGAATGGACACACAGCTCGATTCCAGCTAAAACAGGACAGTTAAAAGTCAGCCTTAGGTCATGGTTCAGGGAGGAAAGGGTTAAAACACACCAAAACAAAGACAAACCATACAGATAATGGAGGGTTGAAGGGAACTGGATAAAGATAAGGTAAACAAGGATGCTAAATCATGAAAAATAATTCCTAGGGAAAGCATAAACATGTCAGGCACACTGAATGGATCATTCTGCTAATACAGTGTTTAGGTTTAATTTAATTACCGCCTTTTTATAACAAGAAGCTTTAAAGCCTACCTTTATCAGATTTTTGTTACTACAAATTTAATTCATTCACTTTCTTATGCTTCTTCCCCTTTTGAGTTATAGGTCTATGATCTGTAGCCTGTTCAAGTAATAATAGTGGCCAAAATGGTGAGATGAGGAAAATACAGCATATGTAGTTCTTACCTGGGTGAGTGTGGTACTTTGAGTCATGTCTGGGAGCAGGGGCTGCTCATCACCATGACGAAAATCTAGATAAACTATTTTATGTGAAAATGTAGAGAACTCATTGCTGAAGCATATTTTGTAGACACCTTTCATAGCAGTGGTGTTGGAAAAGGTGTCATATTGTCTTTTCTTCTCATTGTATAGCATCTTGTTTTGCGGGTCTGTGACAAAACAGTCAACATCATAGTTACCCCCTGCAATAACCTGAAAGAGAAATTAGGGTAAAAAGAGTTAATTAATATTGTAGTAACATATGGGCTTATGTATGCTATAAGGTGAATTCGACTTCTAACATATGGACTTGTAAGCACTAATGTTCAAACAGCAAGAGTCACATGCAAATAATTATGAATGGTAACAAATACAACAATTACATTAGCATTATGTTGTCTTTGTGTAGTGACAGGCTGTTACATTGTCAAAACATAACACAGATTTGCACTTACTTGGTAGTCTATTTCCAACTTTACGCCCTTCTCTAATTCCTCGTAAAAACACTGCTTCTCGTTATCCGGAAGCTCAAACGTGAGCTCAGTCCCCAGAACAAGAGGTGCATGCAGAAACAAACAGATTATTCGCAAAGACAACATCGTGAAGTGGAAGCTGCTTCCGAGGCGTGAGTGCGGCGGAGCAGCGGTGCGCCGTTTCCATTCACCTGAGGCAGGACCAGGACCGCAGCCGGGACTTGTTGCTCTGACGTGGCAGGAGCGCAAACAACTTCCGGTGCAACTTTTCTGTTTTTGTGATACTCTCAAATATTTTGTAAAAGTAAGCCTGATTGGCAGCTGGGTTCTTTGAAAATTAATTTCACGGTAATATTGTAGGCAAATAGCCTAAGAACATGAACGTAACTGGTGAATTAGGTCCATTCGACTGTGTTTTTACCTAAGCGTGTCTTGTAGCCTAGGGCCTGTTGCATAACAACACTAAATGTTAATAATCTAATGTGCGTAAAAAGGCAAAATAAGAAAAGTGTGTGCTCCTAGGCTTATTGCCTTCGATGCAGCACTAATAGCTTAGGTCACGAGTACTCATATTTAGGCTATGTTGTTCATAGGGCCTACTGCTTTTCACTTTGACTGGTTACAGTTTGCATAGGTACAGCTCCCAGGCTATAGGCTCATTTCTATGGTCTAAAGCACAGGTGTCAAACATAAGGCCCGGGGGCCAGATCCGGCCCTCCAAGACCTTTAATGTGGCCCTTGGGTGATTTTCTACTAAAATATTTGAATTATATTTTCTATTAAAATATTGTTAATTTTCTGAGGTGCTTAGCATAGCAGCGTCTCCAGCGTCTCTGTACGTGGCCCCTCCCACCAGAGCAGCACAAATGAAGACTTGTCTCTTTCCAAACGCTCTTAAAGGACGATCGTTTTGACTGTTGACCGTGACACCCTCATCAGCAAAATGTCACAAATGAGAAAAGTGGACGCCGAGTGCAGGATTTTCCAAGAAAAATTTACTTATTCCTATTTGCACACAAGTTAATGTTAAAACATTGTGTTGAAATTGAATTTTTCTTAAAGTTTCAGGTTGTTCATAATATTATAATATTTTGTAAAAGAAAGAGTTCATCAATTAAAAAAAGATTTCTGTAATAGATTTGCATTTTTCTGCACAAATATTTGAACTTATTGTTATTTTTGGGGTTTATATGACATGAGTTTTTCTGATCCGGCCCCTTTGGGATCAAAGTAGGTTGGATACGGCCCCCGGACCAAAATGTGTTTGACACCCCTGGTCTAAAGAATTAGCCAAGGCATTGTGAGATGAATGACAGGCAGAACATGTCAGAGTAAAAGTGGTGAGGCGAGAAAAAAAATAATAAAAAATCTTACTTTTGTTCACATAATGAAATAGATTAGCCTAGTTAGACTATTTCTACACTAGCCTACATGTGCTACTCACAGATAATAACATAATCAGCACATTGCACATGATAAAGGTCTTGGTCAATTAAGGCTGGCTTTAAAAAGCCATATTATGCTTTTTTCTGATCCATGTTGTTTTCTCATCACTAACACCTGCATATATGCTGAGTTATTCTCTCAAATAGACCTTGCAATGTCATGTGGTAATACAAAAAGTGCTCCACTGGGTTTTTAAACGCCATACATCTTCACTAGCATCATTTCAATCATTTCAGCCCTGGAATTGCCCATCTCTAGTGAACTAAAGCTGAAAGGCAGGTGTTAAGTTGAAAACTACCACTACATGACATCACAAGGGGGGGACACAGTGTTTTGAGCTTCGGGTGTGTAGACAAATAATAAAGGGCTACTGAAACATGTGTAAATCAAACAAAACACACCTCCAGGTATGTTTTTGAGGAGGTAACAACATTATACCATCACTAAAAGCTCACATTATCACACTTGCCACTACAAACAGAAAATAAGAGGGACTGGCTGGTCAGGCTACTGTTTATTTTATATTTTAGTTGTTAGTATGTTGTAGAAGCGTTTTAATTCGGTCCATGTGTTTAGGGCTGCTTGAAACAACACTTTTATGGTGAAAAACCAGCCTGGACGCTCCGTGTGCTCACTTCCGGGGACTGACAGAAACGCCCACTTTGTACATAAGAGATAGATGCTATCAATACCATGTAGCCTAATCACATTCATTATAGCTCTGGTCTTTAAACTCGTTATAGTCTGACAAGCCTACAGTAGGAGCACTTTTTAAAAGATCATCAACACGGGAGGAGGACGATGCCTAACTTGCCTAACTATTCGGAGGCAATGAAGGACTTTGTGGAAAGTCATGTCATTGGTCTCATTGTTGTCTTTTCTGCAGGTAGGCCTAGTTAATTATTCTTCCTTTATGTGTTGACCTACTAACCATAATAACACTGAAAACTGGTAGGCTACAACGGCACATATTTAAGTCCACTCGTTTATTACGCTGTTATAAAGGCTCTTGTAGCGAATGCGGATTCTGACATTATCAAATCTGATTATGAATTGATTATGTTACATAATTACTATACGAGTGACAGACCTATTGGACTGTTCATGCTGACTTGAACGTGGATGTAGTTAGGCAGTGATGGGAATAGCCTACTAAATGAATGTATTACTGATATAATTCCCACTTATTTGTGAATATTAAACAACAACAAGAACAACAACATTGTTTTCTTTTATTTCAGGGGCAGGCCTAGTGGCCTTCCGCAGGTGGATGGGTGGGAGAGTGTGTCAAAGCAAGGCCAGGCTGGATGGAAAAACAGTCCTAATCACAGGCGCGAACACAGGCATTGGGCAAGAGACAGCCCTGGACATGGCTAAACGAGGTCAGCAAAAACAAAACTCATATTTAATCAAACGTTTTTCTTTTCAAAACTATTTTAGTGAGTTTTTCTGTGATCTAATATTACAAAGTGGGTAGGTTATTATGTTACCATTTTACAGGGGCCAGAGTGATCCTGGCTTGTAGAGATGTCACCAAAGCCCTCATTGCTGCTGATATGATTCGCCAGCGTAGCGGAAACGGAAATGTGGTGGTCAAGAAGTTAGACTTGGCTTCTCTGCAGTCAGTGAGAGAACTGGCCAAGGATGTAGAGAAGAATGAACCACGCTTAGACATCCTCATCAACAATGCAGGTGTTTTGCAGTTTTTAAACTGTTATGAAAATCAATTATGACACGGAATTCTCATTGAACTTTTTGTTTAAAGGTATCATGATGTGTCCCAAGTGGAAAACAGAAGATGGTTTTGAGATGCAGTTTGGTGTAAACCACTTAGGACACTTTCTTCTGACTAATTGTCTCCTTGATGTATTGAAGAAGTCGGCTCCAAGTCGCATTGTCATAGTGTCTAGCCTGGCACATGAGAAAGGTAAAGGTTTTGGTTCTTTTTATAACAATACTGTGTCAAATTTGTATTGCAAAAATCACAATAATAATTGGACTGATGTTATTTCTTATTTTCAGGAAAGATACATTTTGATGATATTAACCTGGATAATAACTACAAACGTGAGATCAGTTACCGTCAAAGTAAATTGGCTAATGTACTTTTTGGCAAAGAACTTGCTGCACGATTGCAAGGTAAAACAGAATGTTTCAAATGATTCTGTGAAATTAACATTCTTCACAACACAATCTTCTTTTTTATACATAATATTTATTTATTTATATTTTACCCGTAGGATCTGGTGTGACAGTGTACAGTCTGCATCCTGGGGTCATTCGCACTGAGTTGGGTCGCCACCTGTTTCCCACACTGGCTCTATGGAAGAGGATCATAGCCATGCCATTGATGATGCTCATCAAAACGCCCTGGGAAGGGGCGCAGACCACCATCTACTGTGCTGTAGAGGAGAGCCTAGCCAATGAGAGTGGCTTCTACTACAGGTTACTTAATACTATTACTCTTTTCTGTTTTAGTCTTACATCTTAAAATATGTCTTTTAAAATGTAATATTAAATCATAATGACCTATTGTTCTTGTACAGTGACTGTGCCCGCAAGACAGCTGCACCTCAAGCTCAAGATGATGCTGCAGCAAAGAGGCTCTGGGACCTCAGTGCTTCAATGGTTGGTCTTGGTTAAACCTCTGCAAACCTCTTCTTATATCACTGGTGTAAAAACTTTGATTTAACCATATAATATTATTATAATGCAGTTATAACCCACGTTAATCTCTGAGTTACATTTTATCAAGTGTGCTGTGGTTGATTATGCCTCATATTTGATTATTTTTCAGCACATTTTAATCATTATTTAAATTTTATTTTATTTTTTTACATATAGTTACATGAATTACAGTATGGCATGCCGAATTGGCAAGATTGTACTTTGCACTTAAAAAAAAAAGACATAAATACTTGAATTATAACAGATGAGTTCATTAAAATTAAATGTGCTTGGTTTTACTGACCAGGATAAGAGTTGGTAAACCAGTAAGGCTATTGTAGAGCCTGTTTCCGCAATGAAGTTTGTACCACATTAAAACATTATTTAGCTATGCAAGCTTTTAAAATATATACATAATTCACTTTGAAAAGATGAACCAAATGTATAAGCAATAAATATTTTTGTACACCGTTTTGAAATCGACTGCTTCATTTACAGTGCAATGCAAATATTAATCATTAAATAAAATATCAACCAAATCGTCATTATTTTTGTTTAGCAACTAATATTGGAAAGTTGAGATGTATGTCAAAATTACTCACCTTTGTATTCCACCTCAGCTTTTAAAAAGATTAGTCATGTCAGATCATGTTAGGGTGCCTGAGTTCATCTCCATAGTGGAGTTTCTACTGCAAGTAAACAGATTTTAAGACTTTGGACATACATAAATATTTCTTCATCTCACCTATGACATATAACTCTGGATTGAAAAAAACATTTTCTCTAGTCTATGTTCAAACTTAATTCAAAGTGGTTAAGAAATAAGTAAAAGAAAACATGTAAGCAATTAGATGTAATAAACCTGGAACAAAACAAATGCTCATGCTACTCTGTTTTATTTTATAAAATAAATATTCCACCTTAATGGATTCAGTTTATATCTTGTTCAAGAAGAACAAATGCTGACAATAGACTTGAATTCCCCAATTCTCCATTCCTTAGGCTCAAGTTTGTCCCAAAGTTGTAGGTAATGTCATGCACATGCCCTTATCAGTTCTCCGTCCAACGGATACAGATGCTATAGCTGGGCTGGAAAAGTGATAAGGAGATGTGGGCGACTATTGTGCATTTCGAAGATATTGTTGACAAACTTAAAAAACTGGATCCTGGAAATTCTTAAAAGTTTGTCAGCGTCCCTCAGGATGCAATACAAGATCTTCCTGAAGCTGTTCCTTCTTTTTGTGAAATCCAAACTTCTAAAATAAGTCGAGGCTCTCCACCACTTCTGTCACCGCTGCAGACTGAACACTCTTGAATCCACATGGTAAGTTTGACTTGTCCCGCTCTGCTGTCCTTTACTGTCCTCCTGCTGACAAAGTTTTGAGACACACCCCATTGATGAGTTTTATTTCACTGTGGCCCCGCCTGGCTAGGACCTACTTCTTTGCCTCTATTGGTTGATAATGAAGACTCACCATATCTGCCCCCTGGCTTGTGTGAACACCAGCCAAATAGCTCTTCCACTTGTCAATCGGGAGCAGCTCGGCCAATCAGATGAGAGGCCAGCCCTTGATGGGCGTGTTTAATACAGGTGTGGCTAAGAAGCACATTCCAATAAGCGCATACCTGTCAGCTGCTCTGGTATTTAGCTGCTCCTGGAAAGCGTTTTCCCACTGTTTTCCCCTCATCTGAGGCCCTTGCACAGGCACCCTTTTCATTGCACAAATACACAATCTTCAGTTCAAGACATCAGCATCTTGTCTCAATTATTTGGCGATCCCCTTTATGGGAAGTGCTTTATGTCCAAATGTTCATGTACAAATGTGAGATTATTGTCTGGATATGAAAGTGCTTGGGTTGTGCCTTAGAGGCAGTTCAGAGTGGAAATGGAGTGGTATATTAGATGTATGTCTGTGTGTATGGAAAATGGCAGTTTATTTTTTCCCAGGAGCCAGGGCTGTATGTCATTATTCTGTAATATGTGCAGTCAGTTGGCGCACAGGTGCAGGCCTTGGCATGTGCTTTCCCCCCAGCAAAGAACATCAGCTCATCTGCTTCTGCTTTGCCCCTCAGAGATCATAAACTCAGGGAGAGTCAGGTGCAGTGCTGAGTCGTCTGGTATGCAGTCATTCTCTTTTTCTTTTTCTACAAATTTTTCTATACCGCCAAGTTTCAGTCCCATGGTGTGTTCTACTGATGATCTGTTTCTCTCACTTTCTCTGTGTGTATTATTCAGAGCACAGTGGTGTAGTGTGTGCCTGAGGCAGGTGTGGGAATGCAGGTTTGCAGCATTTGCCACCTGAAACCAGAGCAACTGTGCAGTGATTAGCTGCTGACGAGCCCATGCATGTGTTGAGCTAAACATGCACAGCTACATTGACTAAATTTGTTTATGTCACCAGTCGTCACTAGCATCACATGATAATCCAAGGTTTCAACTCTCTAATGTTATTTGAATACCTAAGATACAAGAAAATACAAAAGAAGAATATTTCAGATTCTGTTAATTTAGTTTATTTGAGAGGTGTCTCCTCATGCAAGAAGATGGTGGATTATCGTTTGCAAAGCCAAGGCACTGTCACTGTCTGTTGTTACAGTGAAAGTTGCATACCTCAGATGTTTGGACAAAATGCCTCAAAAAATTCTACTGAACACAAAGTACAAAGACACCTAGAAACTATTAAGAAACTAAAAGATATATGTGCACACAGATTTTTGAGGAATACATTTGCTTGGAATGTATTTTTCATGTTTTGTATATTTGTTTTATTATTTCAGTTTGTTTTAAGTGGTGTGTCATTAGTCTTTCACATGCATTCTGTACACCACGTGTGTGACAGCAGCTCAACACTTAAGCCACCTGTGTGATCTGACAGTAAGAGCACTTGTAACATCTTACTTTGACTTCCTGTCTAATGATTTTGGAGAGCTTGTGGGAACATTGTAGGGGGCAGGTCGAGGTGGCGTTCAGGGCTGCGGGTTTGGATTCCAGGGCCGCGTTTGGGAGGGGGCTGTAGGAACTACGGGCCCCGAGGCAGGATCCTGTCACCAGGCATAAGCACACTGTCGAGTGGACACAAAGACAACAGAACAAGTGCTGAGTCAGCTGTCTACCTGGCTTAGCATACGCTGGGCTGCCTCAGCTCCTCCACACAAGCCTTTCCATGCTGTCCTCAAGTCACTACACACTTAAAGCTTAACTGCACATTGAACTATTTGCAATCTATGTATAAACTAAATCAGATGTGCACATGTGTGGTGTTTATGCTGGTCAATAATAATAATAATGATAATGATCTTTCACAGGTTTGACTTGTAGTGCTACACGTATCATTCTAAATTCAGCCAGGTTAGACCAGAGAACCAGTAAGCCCAAACTGCTGGCCATGCCTTCATAACTATGCCCAAAGTTGCTCAGTTGTGGCAACCTATTGAACTCACCAACGAGGAGATGACAAATAAATGAAAAATGCTGCATATTATAAATCAACATTTCACTGACAAGAAAAGGGCCATATGCTGTTCACCAACAGATGTTCTTGTTGCTAACAATGTGCATTAATAAAATATATTAATACTTATAATTTACATTGAAATGCTTCTTTCCAGATTATTGAAAACATTTATTTGTGAGATCTCTTGTATCAGGCATGGCGCTCTCTTCCACATGGTTGGGCATACTCACTTGATGCTTCCTGATCTCTGAGCATACCACTGGAGGAGGAAGGGCTGCAGCCATCTTTGCTGCCATTGTCTGTGATTATTTAGCCGAGTTCCTCTCATGAGTGTGAAAGTCTGGTGCAAAGCAAACAGCCGTCGGGCCTCTTGATCCAGTTCCGGAGCTGGTGGGAACGTCACATGCCGAGCCCGCTCATGTGCACCAGGGGACTTCTGCTAAAACATCTTCTGCTCCACACAGGGATTAAGCTGCACACATTCCTCTGAACTCTAGATCCCAACAATTCGTCCATATGAGTACCCATCACACTTGAAATCACTATTTACAGTGCAATACTATCAACAGACTTCATATGCCAAATACAAATCTAGTCAAGCTCTTGAACTGAATGCATAAGCTCCTATATTAATCACATAAAATAAACTCTTGTGAGTTTTAAGACATGTTATAATGTTGTTACCTCATCAAAAACACACCTGGAGATGTGTTTTGTTTCATTCACACATGAGTAATATTAGTGTATCCACATCTTCAAAGCTCAAAATGCTCTGTTCCACCTTTTGTCATGTGGTGATAGTTTTCAAGTTAACAGTTTCTTTCACTAAATGATTCTAGTGAAGGTGTACGAAGTTTAAAACACAGTGGAGCACTCCCTGTATTACCACATGACATCTCAAAGTGGAGCAGAGTATTTTCTTTGAGAGAAGAACTCAGCCTAAATATGCAGGGTGTGCGTGTGTGTGTGTGTGGGTCAAACATTTGTGAATGAAGCAAAACAAAACTCCAGGTATGTTCTTCATGAGGAAACAACATTATAAGATAGAAAATAATGTGGGTCCTTTAAAAGAACTGGTTTGGTCTTCAGCTGTTCACATGTCATATCAGTTCATCATTACAATACCAGTAAGCCTTTCATTTATTTAAACCATATTTATAAATTACAAACATGGAACCGAGAGTTTTACTTGTGATTAGTGTATATATTTGTAATATAGACTGCATCTTTAAAATATATATTTTTGTCATATGTTTACTTGTAAATTTGCCCACTATTTTTAATAGCCTTTGCAGTCTCAAATTGTAGCCTATTTAGTCTCCTAGTTACTAAGTTACATTGTAATGTATTTTTTCACTAGAATTGTTTGCCAAAACAAATAGTAGTAGGTTTATATAGGCCCAGTCTATGTTTACAGGTTACTTTACAATTTAGTTTTATTAGGTTTATTGCCGCCTAGTGGCCAAACTTGACTATTTTACAAATTATACAAATAGTCTGGGGTTGATGGTTTGGAAAAATATTAAATGCACTTAAAAAAAAAAAAAAAAGAAAGAAAAAGGAAAAAAGAAAACATCAAATAAAGATGTCCATATGCGCAATTTCTTGTGTTTGTTAGACATATATTAACCCAAATAAAGCAACGTTCACGGAATAGGCTATAGGTCAATTTACTAAATCACAGAATTTCTTCAAATACCATCTTACATTTTGATGGACAGCTTGTGTAATGTGTAGCTGACCATCTTGACGCTTAGTGGGACCAGAACAGATGAGAAGTGAGCGGAACGCAGTGTCCAGCGCCACTGCCGCGGCGGTTGTTGCGCTGTGTTACACCCCTGCTGCTCACTGGACGGTAAAATGCGATCATGGCGAGCTGCCAGCACGCATCAGGCCTGGGCAGATGAAATACCAAGCCAAGTGAACGAGGATCGACTTACCGCCATCGAAACGTCGCTGCGCGTCTATAGCCAGTAGAGGGCGCACCCGCTTCTTCCTTCTGAACTCATGGCACGTTTGATGATCTCTGACACTGCATAACATCTTGCAGCATTAAAGGGTAAGTAAAGGCTCCGTTTCAATGAGCCTACGATACGCAAGAGCTAAAATAGGCCTAATAATAAGTATTAAAACCCACATGAAAACTCATACACATACAGCGAATCCCTTCCAATAGGCCTACTGGAAAATATGGCCAGCAGTTGCAAAAAATCATTTAGGAACGGTCTAGTTTTTCTAGAAAACAAGTCATATTGTTTATTTTGTATAATTATAGCAAACAGTCTCTTTTGCACAACTGCAGTTTTTAATAAGCACGAGTAAATGGTAATCACATGGACATGATGAACATCATTATTCTACTAGTCGGAACATCTCCTCTTGAGTATTTTTTTTTAAGTGACACTGCGCCTGTGCTATGTTGTCACTATGATTATGTTCATGTTGTGGACTGCAGGCGGCGAGTGCCAGTTCTGCTGCAGTTTTAAAACAAGCAAGGCATACTCTGAGTTGATTACTCCTCCTCCTCTCTCGCACCCACCTCGGGGCATGGAAAAGGCAATCGAGGAGAGACATTGCCACAAATAGACCCTCTAAATATGGAGGGCTTCAGTCAAGAGAACAACCATGATTGAATTTTGAGCCTCTTCTACCCAATTTAATAAAGAGAACAACTGGATACACACTTTACTCTCAAATGCTATTTGTGTGTATTTGCCTTAGGCATTATTTGGGGCAAATGTTATTTTTTTTATATATTAAAAGACGTTATGTTTTACAAACAGCCAAATATTCCCCCCAAATTGTGAAGCGCTAAAGATGCTTCAATGCTGACTATATTATAATAATGAACACATGCCTTCATGAGTCAGCCTCCTCCAGCCCACTTTCCAGGTCAGTGTGTGTGTATGTGTATGTGTGTTGTTGCACTGGCAGCCATTGTCTGGAGATGCAGTTGCATGAATATGTTGTGTTGCTAGGCCCTCACAAGTGTGTAGTAGTGTGTAGTCTCAGATGCTGCCTAAACTCTCTTTTGCTGCAGTGTCTTTACTTCTTGTGACCTTCAGCAACATATGTAGTGGTCCAAGGACAGTGCACTTTTTAGCTGATCATTAAACTTCCACAATTTCTCTTCACCTTTAGGCTGGGTTTACTGTATTAGCATGCCATTAGCATATAACTTTGGGAAGCCAGTGGGAACAGGAGGGTGCACAATGACACCTGTTATGTACAAAGCAGATGATGGTCTGACAGGGTCTGACTGCAGAGTTCAAGAAGGATGATGCCTGTGCTCCCTAGTGGTGTAGTGCTTTAAGGTGTTGCTGTAATGTGTGGCCATGACCACTGGCTAAATGTTTCTACCCTACCATTTCATGCTATACAATAGCATAAAAAAACAACACCACTTCAATGTGCCTTAATGTTTGTCCAATCTTATGAAACTCAATACTGGCCAAAGAAAAAAGAACTTTTAGATACAAAATTAACATAAATTGAACTTGGAGTAAAATGGAACAGTGAAGATGAAGTGCTTATGCCATGCAATTTGACTTGTGAGTCCTGTGTCCCACAGACTCTACCTTTTTCAGCTAGTCTTTATGGCCTTACAGTGTTGTAGAAATTATTTTCTTTAACCTGTGAGGAATTACATCTATCAATTGACCAATAAGATGTCTGATATTACGTCTGTTATACATTATCTTTTACATCTGAGTTACATTACTACTTCACCTCATTTGAACTCTACTCAACCATGTTTAATCATGTTTCAACAAAATTAGCAAAGTAATATTACGCTCCAGTCTCAAATAAATCAAAATCGGCACTGATGCTCAAAGCAGCATATTACGTGCTATGTTTACAGAGCAATATACTGGCCTTAGCCTGACACAGTTTTGTTTTTAAATGTTAGTAGGAGTAGAGGCTGAAGTGCGTGCTTTGGAGCATAATACAGTGTGGTTGAGACTTGCGCACGGCTCTGATGCTGCAGCCAGGTGGTGACCCTGCATGCAGTACCTGGCACACAGCAGAGCGCAGAGCTGCAGCCAAATCAGTCTGAGAACAGCCCACAGTCTAATGCACAACAGAAATGACAAATTGTTTATGGATATTTTTACCCACTGAAGTGCACGTGTCTAACATTCTTTTATTTTTGTTCTTTTTTCCATTTAGCTTTTCCTATATGAACGGCAATTTTCTTCACACCTCCAAACATGCTGGATTAGCATATTGATTTGCCATACATTTGATGTTGTGCCCTGTTTCTAAACACCATTTGGGAATTAAACCTTTTTAAAAAATACTGATGTAGAAGAATAGTAAATGTATGTATCCCATTCCTGAGAATGAGAAGAAGAAATATATAATAAAGATGCTTTGGTAAGAGCTGACCAGCACACTCCCAAACCATATTGTCCATATTCTGCTGCACTTCTACTTCTACTTTTTCATTTTTATCATAACAAAGACAATTTCTCTTTTGATGTTTAATTTGTGGACATGCGGCATAAAATGTTTTTAGGCCTTTGAAATCCCGTTACACAATCAGTCTGCGATCACCTCCAGCTGTTGACTCCGCCTCCTAAATGCTGCTCTCCAATAGGCCACAGGATCAGGGTTTGAGGTGCTCGGCATCCATCCTCTAACCTTCATCAAATCCCCTTTGTCAAATGTCCATTCTCTCCATCTTTCCATTTTATGTCATCTATAATAAGAAGCCATAAAAATAATCTTTACTATCAGTCAGAGTTGAGGAGAATCACCACCTCATTACCACTTCTGTCTGAGGGGGTAATTATGGGATGAAAAGAGCCAAGCAACGGACGTAAGCCTGGGGCATCCTGTCCCTAATGGCTGATGTACTCTATGGTTGTATCTATCCGGTTGCATATCTCTAATATCACTCTATACTGCTTACTAAAACGTGGACATAGTTCAGCTTTCAAAATGTGATTACGGTTTGTCTGTGTTTTATTAAAAAGACCAAATACATAGTGTAATCAAACATCGCCTGGTCAGGATGTGTGGCCTTTATTAATGACCACCCTCACACAAAGTGCTGTGATCTTACCTTGTGATGAAATAAACCATTGTGTGTCCTCAGACCAATATGCTAATCCAGGATTATTTATGGGCCAGGCCTAATGAGTATCATCCTTACCCTCTCAGATATGGAAATGTATCAGGAGTGGACAGTGTGGAGGGGCTTTTGTTAGCTCTGTACCTTGCTTCATAAAAGAGACAGGGCACTAAAGAAAAACATAGATACTGCGCAAAATATTCTTTAACATGTATTGCTATGGCCATTTATTTGTGGGCCACACATTATATGACTATATAACAACATGTAATTGCATGGAAAGAGTTAAGGTTGGGAGTTAGAGAGTTCAGTTTACATGTGCTTAATGAGCAACCTTGGATTAAAGGTTGTGGAAAATAAAATATTACTTAATACATTTTCTTTATTATTGCAGATGTTAATATGCCATGACATATGGAACACAGTAATAAATTGATAGCACTTAAAATACTAATAAAAGGTGAATTGGGCTTATGGATTCTTTTTTTCATACAAAACTGTGTGTAATAATTCTGGTAAAGACAAAAGCTGCTTCTTTCACACAGTTGTGCAACATAAGATGAACTGTTTAAAGGGTTTTGTGTAAAATGGACTTTTATGAGCTTTGAACCAGATTATAACATTACATATTTTATTGAGTGATTCATGCATGTTTGAGTTAGTTTTCATTGTCCTGCATTTAAGGCTTGAGTCTGTTTTCACCTATCCCCTATTTATAATTTTTTTTTTAACTCTGGGTCATAAATAGAGTGTAACCGTAACCACGTAACCATAAAAAAAAAAAAAAAAGTAAATGAAAATCTACTGCTTGCTATGGTGAAATGCTACTCTGAAGAGGCGGGGCCTATCAGTTCTGCAGTTTTGAACAGGAAGTCAATGGACTGGTTTCTATTAAGTCGTTTTATCAAAATATTGTGATTTATGACCAAAAAAAATGAAAAATAATAATTTACATTATATTGATAGTAAATGCCTGAAAATAAACATTTGTCAACTACAGGCATATTTTAAACTGATTTATATTTATTTAGGCTACAACATGATTGTAAACACACCAGACTGTTGCCGAAAGCATTTTCCACCTATTGTCCCAAAGAAATTTAAAAAACGAATTATTTTTGTTTCAAGAGGAGCTAAAGAATAATATTCGCATTTTTAAAAAGTCTTTTCATTGCGCATGGTTTGGTATCTTATTCCACAAACATGTGTGTGTTTTCCTCTATTTGTAAAAAAGCAGTATGCTGGTCCGAGTTACTGTCCAAGGTGCTGAAATCTGCCTCGGGTCACGTGACTGGACTTCCTCGCTCGAAGTGAACGCGGAGCAGAGCTGTATGTGTGCGCCAATGCGCGTGTGTCTGGACACTTCAGTCCTCATGATGAGCGATGAAGAAAGCTCTCCTAAGACGCCGTCCGTCTCACTGTAAACGGGGAGGTATGCTCGCACCGCGCTAAGCCCACAGAATGCAGAAGGGGATGAGGCTCAATGACGGCCACATCACCTACCTGGCGCTTTTAGCGAAGAAGGACGGTACCAGGAGAGGCTTCTTGAGCAAGAAGAGCTCCGACAACACAAAATGGCATTCAAAGTGGTTCGCTTTGTTGCAGAACATGCTTTTTTATTTCGAAAATGACTCGAGTTCACGACCCTCCGGACTGTACCTGTTGGAAGGATGTGTGTGTGACAGGGCACCGTCTCCCAAACCTTCTCTGTCAGCAAAGGAATGCCTCGAAAAGCAGGTAAAACACTCCGCTTTGCGCAAATCACCACAGGGATCACCAGAAACAAGAGCGCTGCTGGCTTCACTCACACAAACTTGGTGTTTTACATTATACGCCAAAATAACATTGTTTTTAGATAGGGGCTATTGGGTGCCATCTGCACAACATTAATCGTTTTCAAACCTGCATACAGCATACTATTCATAAACACCAAATTTCCCAGAGACGTTTGCTTTAGTTCACTTGACGTTTGCTGTTACGTAATGGCGTCATATTAACTGATTGATTGTCTCATTTCTGTACTAAAATAGCTTCTCAGCCAGTCTATGACTGAGCCTATTTAAGGTTTCTCGTGGATGCAGCATCTTGGTTGTTACCATGCCAAATAAAATGGTTGTTTAGAGCCACAAATATTGTCAACGGCGTCTGTGCGCCTGTTAAAGTTTAAGTGCAGCCAAACTTTGGCGGTTGCCATCTTGCGGAGGAGAGCTGCCCCTTCCCCGTCGATTTGACGTATTGATTTAATTCTTGTCTTGATATTAATAGCATCCTACCTTGGCAACTGCGTCTCCCTAGTTTGGACGGTATCGGCATGGTTCATCTTAAAGCAGTCTCTTAAAAGCAAGATTGCATCAGGAACGAATCCAGTTGTACCCTTTCTACTGTCCAAACCCGATGCTTTTGTTCATGGTCGCTGAAATAGCATCTTGCACGAAAAGCTTACCTTGCAAATCCTTTGGTTGTTTCTCAAGGTAAAGCGTTAGCTTTCTCAACGTGTAGCCTTTTAATTCCGCCAGCCTAAATGTTGCATAAGAGTAGGCCTACTATGTCAATTACACACCTGAAGTAGGCTAGTAGAATAAAATAGGCCTATTCAGACAAATTCTGGTATCTTTTAATGTCAAGTTTGATTGTGTGATCCTCTTCCACCACTGTATGTTCATTTGTCATCACTCATGATGTTTCTGCTGATGCTGTTGTTCCTGTTGTCCTTGGAGATAAACACTGGGCCATTTTATTTGCACTAAAGTAGACCAGCTCCAAATGCATGGTATGAAATACACCGAGTGACATCTACACTGACAGCTGCTCATGCAGACTTCCCCACTAAATGCAATTCAGCAGTGAATTAACCCTGTTTGAAAGGTTGTTTACTTTGTCTTTCTGCACATGTTCAAAATCACTTCTCCCAATTATAGCAGATTTACTGTATGAAAGTGTCACTTTGTATGTCTACCAGTACAACTGTCTGATGATAATTTTTGGTAACAAATCTTTAAGCCAGCTACACAGTTTCACATTTTACTCCCCCAAATGCACAGCAGCTGTTTGTGGTTGTGCGCAGTCTTCCTATTTGTGTCAGAAGAAGGAGGAGGAGTGGCCAGGTGAATACCCCATCTTATCTGTGTGTGACAGAGTCAGGGACAATGCAGCGAAAAGATCCCAAGCCGACTGCCACCTTGCAGGGCTGAGACACTTTTTATAGGCTCAGTCCTGAAAAAGGCAAAAAGCAGGTCTCTTCCTTCCCTCGCGCTCTCCTCCATCTGTCTTTGGTGCATTCTTATTGTATTTTTTGGAGTGTTCTACTTTTTAAAATGTTCTTATTCCCTATTTAGAAAGGCAAGCTACATTTAAGCCCACAGTTACCATGACAACCCCTATTTGCATCTGAAAAAGTGCATTTGAAGGGGCCAACAAAATGTGCTGCAGCATGCCTTGGCAGTGTGCTTTAGTTAACAAATGCATCATGTGCAAAAAGTGAAGTTATGGAATATTAACTGTAAGATTGCCTATAAAAATACGTGTGTCTGTCATGGAAGTTTCATAAGGAACAATGCTATTTTTAGTTGCAGCTAACAGTTCTAAGTCACTGCCAGGATACGGCATAAAATCTAGAGCTGCTGTTGTAAAATATGTGTGTATTAACCAGAATATGATTTAAATATTCATGAAATTAACAGTTCTTCCTCATGATCTGTTCAATAGCCTAATCAACTCCGACAACTGAAATTGCTGTAGCTTAACACCAAATACAAAATGTTCCTTGTTTTGTGTTATACAAGAATTTTCTGTGATGTGCTGTCTCACTCACAGAGAGATAATAACTCTAAGGCATAAATATAGCGACATAGAGCTAAATTTAGCTGCCTAAAAGGCTTGACACACCAGCTCACAGGAAGATGGAGATGGGGAAGACATTATTGACAAGTGCCCATTCTGCCGCTCATCAGGAAATATGGAACATTACTCCCCAATCAGAAATGATTTGCTTGTGGCATTTGAGAGGGATACACAAATCCAATATATTGGATTTCCGAAGGTCTATTTACAATACATCAACGTTATATAATGCCATCTAGGCTACATCAACAATAGACAAACTGTGAATACTATTATCAAATTGACTACCACTTTAACCGCAAACATTCAGACAGTTTTTATCATATAGTCGAACAGCAGCCTGTAACATCAAAGAGTGTTGGGTCCATGTTAGCAGGTAAAAAGGGAAAAGGACCCAACAGGGTGTAATGAATCACAAGGACAGCACTACCAAACTGAACCAAACAAAGCATCAGCGGAAAGTCTCATCAATTCAGAGGTGAGTTGCCAGGTTACAGACAGAATGCACAGAGGTTTTGTAATGGCTCCCAAAGTCATTTCCCAAAGGATTCTCAGTCCTTTTTTACTAACAGCAGCACGTATATTGATGTCCAAATGTTTATGATGCAAAACAGGAAATATGTTTAACATGATGGCCGTTCTTTTGTTTTTACAGTACTACTTCATTATCAGTTTTAACCATGACAACCAGAAGGCTTTGGAGCTACGTACAGAGGATGTCAAGGACTGCGATGAATGGGTGGCTGCAATCACACAGGCCAGGTATCTCAAACACATGATCTCTACATCACATAATATTTATAATGGTTTTAATACATGCTGGCCATGGCTAAGTGGTCAGACCTTTGATATACTTACAATTTATAAAATCAAAAGTGTAACCATTACATTGAAAATAATATGTTTTAGTTTAGTAACTCATATCTAAAAGCCCATTTGCAAATCTGAAAAAATGCTGACAACAAGAACTAAATCAAATTTAGCTCACTGTCCATGTAATTAATTATGCAAGAAGACAAATATATAGTGTACATACTTCTAACTATGTAATATTTTTGCATTTGTTAATTGGTATGAAATATTTTTGTCCTCTTCATCTGTAGTACTTTGATAATGAAGGAACTGTCCCTCCAAGAGAGTCATGAAAGCCAAGCAATGCAATCACTCAATGTCCACAGTGTGCTCTTGTATGGTGAAAGGTCAATTGATTAGACTTATTGAAGATTACATTGATTAAGGCTCACGCAAAGAAGGAGCTTTTACTGTATAACAGTAACAAGCTATAGGCATCCAACATATGGTACATTTATTGTTTTACCATTTTATTTGCAATTTTTCACATTTCATTAGCAATTAGCAGGTGCTATGAGGATCTAAATAAGCATGACAACATTGAGAATAGTTCACTTACTGTGTACATACTATAATATATATTTCACATTTAAATGTGACATGATTTCATGCTATTTAGTGATTCTGCTTCACGTATTGCCCAGAGAAAAGATTGCACAAGAGTAACCTGCTGGTTGACATAGGGCCTATGATGCTGCTCAGAGGTGTCTAGTGTGTGAGAGATCTATTGAAAGCTCACCAAGCATGTGTTAATGATGTCGTTACAATGTGCTTTTGTATAGTTACAGAAACCTGGCTACTGAGCATGAGACCCTCATGCAGAAGTATCTCCATCTACTCCAAATAGTGGAGACAGAGAAAACAGTTGCCAAGCAACTTCGACAACAGATAGAGGATGGAGAAATCGAGATAGAGCGGCTAAAATCAGAGGTAACTTACCTTGTGATGTTTTATGTTTGTAACACCTGTGTGCTTGTGTCAGAGCAGTGTGCTATAATGATACCTGTGAAGAGGTAAGGGGAGGTTAAAGCCAATGTAGTCACACACAGGTGGAGGAGGAGGGGTGGGGTGGGGGGGTCAGAGACAAAGAATGAGTGGTGATGGACAAGGTCATGATATATTTTCCTGAGTTCTCGTCTACCTACAGTTTATTTATAATTTTTTTTCTTCAAAATTAGATCAAATGCTATTCTCTTTTATGTGTTAAAGGCTAGGTCCAACTTCAGTATGTATGAATCAGCTTCATTTGTAGCTGTACTGCATAGTGCTCCTGAAAAGGCTTTCACTTTGATGTTTCATTCCTCAAGCACAAAATTTTGAGCAAATTTTGAATTTGAGTTGTTTATCCACCGCACAGTTGATTATGTTGATGCAAATGGAAACAAAAGAAATGTGTCATTTTGTAAAAATTACAAAGGTAAATATTGTTGTTTGTCACTCAACTGATTTACTGACTTTAACTTTTATTTAAGAATCACATTTGATTTGTGTGTCTGTTCAGATTGCTGGTCTACTCAAAGATAATGAGAAGATTCAGTCTAACCCAGAGGTGCCGCCTAGTGATGACGATACAGAGATCAAGAAAATCAAAAAGGTGAGCTGATAGAAAATTGACGTTAAAATTATATTTCATTTTTAGAATTAAAAACCAAAACAAATTCAAAACCACAGGTGCAGAGTTTCTTACGTGGATGGATTTGTCGGAGGAAGTGGAAAACCATTATCCAGGACTATATCCGATCGCCTCATGCTGAAAGTATGAGAAAGAGAAACCAAGTTGTGTTTAGTATGCTGGAGGCAGAGGCAGAATATGTCCAACAACTTCACATCCTTGTCAACAACTTCCTCCGACCTCTCAGAATGGCCGCTAGCTCCAAGAAACCTCCAATCACACATGATGACGTCAGCAGCATCTTCCTCAATAGGTGAGTAGTCTAAAAAGCTTTATCCACTATATAAACTACTACATATAAAAAATTCTAATGTTTCATCACCTCATTATGTGTTCAGTGAAACCATCATGTTCCTACACCAAATCTTCTATCAAGGCCTGAAGGCCAGAATAGCCAGCTGGCCCACACTGGTGCTGGGTAATCATTTAGTTTGGCTTATGATGCTTATGATCTTGACTCAGTTTGGACATCTAACATGTATGTATTTTGTCTCCCAGCTGACTTGTTTGACATTTTGCTGCCAATGTTAAACATTTACCAGGAATTTGTAAGAAACCACCAATACAGCTTGCAAATCCTGGCACATTGCAAGCAAAACAGGGACTTTGACAAGCTCCTAAAGCAGTATGAGACCAAACCAGACTGTGAGGAGAGGACCCTGGAAACCTTCCTCACATATCCCATGTTTCAGGTAGTCTTCTCACATTAATGTAAATAGTAATGAACTGTTTATCATTTTACAATGTCATTTTGTCCAGTATGCTTGTAAAAAGTTGAAACACCAAGTGCAGTACTTGGTTCTTAAAGGCAATTTAGCAAATGTAAAACCACGGACTGATTTAATCTGATTTAACCTAGTATAAAATATTGCAATTGCCACAAAGATGTTTTAATTATTTACCAAACCTTTCTTTTTAATAAATGCCTGGTCGATAGTTAATATGTCTGTCTTAAGGCAAAGGGAACTAAAGGTTTCACTCAGGGCCGAATACCAGCAATTTTTGTGTGAAGTCAGCATGCACTCCTTGTGCTATTATTGTCGGTTATTTGAGTATTCCAGATGCAGCTGAATTGAAAAATCGAATATGTCCTACACGGAATGAATATAATGATGTGTTGTTGTAAGGGCATGCTATTAGAGAAAGCTATATACTTTAACTGTTAATTGCACATTTCTACTGTTATTTGCCCTTAAATGCAATCAATCTTATATGTTTAAGATTCCTCGGTATATCCTTACCCTCCACGAACTGCTGGCTCACACACCACATGAGCATGTGGAGAGAAACAGTTTGGACTATGCCAAATCTAAACTCGAGGAGCTCTCTAGGTAAATGAACTCCCAGAGTTTTCAATATAAAATATTTATTTGTCATGTGTACCACATATGTGTTTTCTTAATTCAGAATTATGCACGATGAGGTGAGTGAGACTGAGAACATCAGGAAGAACTTGGCTATTGAACGAATGATTATTGAAGGTTGTGAGGTGCTACTGGACACCAGTCAAACATTTGTCAGACAAGGTAAGATGCTTGAAAGACAGGCACATCAATCACTCATCAAAACAAACAAAATATTTGCTTTCCATTTTATTTTTATGACCCATTTACCACTGCTTATTTGGTTGACCTGAAGTCTTTTGTCAAGATAAATAGCATGACATGGTTGACATCAAATTAAAACCAAATAAAATTCAGTGTTTTCTTAAAGCCATTTGCACTTTCACATTCTTTCCCGCCCAGATGTTCAACACCTCTTCCAACATGTGAAGAATATCATTGAACCCTATCACAGGCACATTACCCTGTATCTAAATGAGATTCTTGTTTCCATTGCAGGTTCATTGATACAGGTGCCAATGAGTGAGAAGGGGAAGATCACGAGAGGTCGTCTGGGTTCACTTTCCCTGAAAAAAGAGGGTGAAAGACAATGTTTTCTTTTCTCAAAACATCTCATTATTTGCACTAGAGGCTCGGGAGGAAAACTTCATATCACCAAGGTACACAGTAAATATATTTTAAAGGTTATCAAATAAATACAAATTCTACTAAGCTGATCTTTTTTACTTGTTTACAGAATGGAGTGGTTTCTCTGATAGACTGCACATTGTTGGAGGAGCCAGAAGGGACAGATGACGAGTGTGAGTAATTGACCAAATACTAATAATAATTCAAGAAGAAAGTGTTGTTCAATCTACAAAACCCTATTCATTGTTTACAGCCAAAGCAGAGCCAAAAGACACAGAGCATCTAGATTTCAAAGTCATGGTTGAGCCAAAAGATGGGCAACCATACACTGTCATCCTGGTGGCTTCATCGAGACAAGAAAAGGCAGCGTGGACCAGTGATATCAGCCAGGTAAAATGGAAATAAAAAGGAGATAAGTCATGATAAGTGAGGGCATGGTGCTGGCAACAGCTCTTCACGTCTTCAGGATAAAATAATAATAATAATAATAATAAACTTTGTATACAGAGAAGCACTAGTGAATTGTATCTTCATAAGTGAAAAGGCTTAACTCTCCAACCTTTTCTTCCGGTGAGCTACCTTTACAAAAACAAAATGCCAAAGAGCTACTAATTTTAGCAGTCACAAGAAATTAAGCACAGGAAAGCCTTAGATGGGGAACAGTTAGATACCTATAAAACAGAAACCTTTATCTGTTTATTAGTGCACAAAGTTAAGTATCAAAACGATACATTTACAATGGTAGTTCATCAAGTTTGAGTCATTCAGCACAATATGTATAATTCAGAAATCCTTTGGCGAGCTACTTAGGAGGGGGTGGAGAGCTACTGGTAGCTCCCGAGCTACAGATTCAAAACCCCTGGCCTAGCCACCCCCTAATCTTCAGAAAACTCACTTTATACTTCTTTCTGAATTGTGTATAAAATCCTTATAATCTCAATAAAATAATTAGTTGGCCAGTTTATCGACTAACTGATTAGAGGCATACAACCAAATGAGTATGACCTTTATATGAACTTGAATCTCACCTCTGTGTCTTTTCTTACAGTGTATAGACAACATCCGGTGCAATGGACTGATGATGAACGCCTTTGAGGAAAACAGTAAAGTCACTGTCCCACAGATGATTAAGTAAGTAAAGGGCCACACAACCATGCACCACAACTGACAAATCTACTCGTATTGATGGGTGTTCTACATGTATGTATATTGGTGAAATGTTCACCATTTACCCTGGAGGCACTATGCTCACATTAGCAAACACTGGCAAATAAATTTTAAGCTCAGATAAACTCAAGAAAAATGCAAAATAGATTTAAACCACACATTTTCAGGAGCCTGTGATCAATATGAGTGTTCATGGTCCTGTTTAGGTGTTTGATTTTCAACAAAAAGGTGAGAGTGACTAACTGAAAAAACGTTGGCTGCGATGTAGATTGTGACTGTAATGTTATTTGAGAGGGACTTGTTTTAGAGCACAAACCAGCTCATCTGTTGTAATTCTATTTAAGACAGTTCTTTCTGGTTAGATTGTGTTAAAATAAAGGTAAGATTTAAGTCTAACAAAGCCTCAGACAAAGAATGCTTCACAACGCATCACAATCCCTTCACACTGCAACATTCTATAGTCCAATAAAATTGTGTGTGTGTGTGTGTGTATGTGTATATATATATATATACATATATATGTATATATAAATTTTGTCATTCATAGTATAATACTGTTGAATAATTTTACTTTCTTGTTTTTTTATGTACCTTACATACTAATAGCAAATCTGGGTTGTCATTGTTTTAGGATTGATCAATTTTAGCTCAGCTCTGATTTTATTATTAACAACAGTTAGTCTGCTCTTGTACTTAACAGAGGTAAACCAGTCTGTTCTAACCTTGTTACTTCCTCCTCAGGTCAGACACGAGCTTATATTGTGATGATGTGGACATTCGCTTCAGCAAGATGATGAACTCGTGTAAGGTGCTGCAGATCCGCTATGCCAGTGTGGAGCGTTTGCTTGAGCGACTCACAGACCTGCGTTTCCTCTCCATTGACTTCCTCAACACTTTCCTGCACTCTTACCGCGTGTTCACCAGCGCAGATGTGGTGCTAGACAAACTGATCACCATCTACAAAAAGCCCATCAGTGCCATACCAGCACGGTAAGACCCACAGCTTTTAAATCTATGATCATTGTCGTTTTATCTCCAAGTAATATGATGTTGCATTTTTACATTGAAATAATTTAAAACAACACCATGTAACTTTTTGGAAGTGGCATATCACCTGCATAATTCCATGGAAACAGGAAGCCTTCCTGCAGAACATTGTCCATGGAGGAATACATTTTAGGCTATACTGAGGAATTTTATAGCTGAAGAACATTTCCATGGAGACATGCAGGTAGAGGCCCTCCTCCAGTACAAATTAGAGTCAGAATTGAGTATGTGAGCCTTTGCATGTTTTTATAATGCAATAAAAAGATTTTAAAAAATATATTTCTTTTTTGGCTAAAGAGTTACATGGCTTTAAAAGTTTTTCTTTGGATTTTCTCTTTTGCTTTCTCTTTTGTTTTTTTGTTTTTTTGCTGTGGTTCAGTTGTTCATAAGATTGGTATAATGACAGCATGTGCCAAAACAGAGCAATGCAGCAATGCTAATTTTGTAATTAAAGTTATCATGTTCCATATTATACTAAAACTATAATAAACTATTAATAGTGAATGAGGTCAAATCATAACTTTGTTGATCTTAAAAAAGTCGCTGCAAAACTAACTTGACTGTCAAAACTTTTCATAAACTTTAGTTCAAATCATGTACAAATTGTATTTATGGATGCAATAACAGTGCAGTAAAAACTTGGGACTTCCAAGTGTCTGGGTTTTATCTTTGCTCTTGTGGACTTGCTGTAGCAGCCCATTATGCCATCCCAGCCGGTTCGAGTGAGGAGGGACCAGAGGCAGCGCGGGGTCACAGCAGCCACGTCTCACTGTCTGTCTTCTGTCCACCATCACAGTTAATTGGGTGCACACCTGCTTCTCGTTCCTACTCCATCCCTCACTCTTTTTGCCTCTTCTATTTTCTGGCTTTTATTTGCCTTTCCACAAGTCTGACCATCCCTTTCTTTGCTGCACTGTCACCATGGCAACCTTTCACTCTGCGGCAGGACCCCACCCTCTCCTTGTCTTCTCCCTCATTCCCTCTCTCCCATCATCTGCAGCGGCTCTACGCTATTAAATATTGATGGCAGTGTTTTGCACCCAGATCCTGCTTCTCCTGTCCCGTCCATTTTGGCTAATTATCTCCCCTAGTCCTCACTTATTATGGAATAATTCCTTCCGTTTTCCTTATGATAAATTTTGCCTTATTTTCACTTTACAATATTTGTCCTTAATTTTAATTCAAATTCTACCTATTTTAATTGTCTGTGTTATCCATGGTGAATGTTGGTGAGGAGACACAACAAGACCAGTTTAACGCAATATGGAACTGGAGGCTTCCCACTCGCCCACTCAGAACCAGCAGCAGACACTGTGGTGGAATCCACTATAATGCTCTCTCACACCCCGCCCTCCCTGTGCTTTCACCCCCATCCTATGTGTGTGTTGGACCTCTTCTCCCCTTGCTCGCTCCATCTCGATATCCCTTTCTTTCTATTCTGTTCCTCTCTCCCCATATCTCTGTGGGCCTCTCCTGGGCTGGTTGCTGTTGGCAGCACCCGTGCCTCCCACACTGTCACTTGACATGCTATTTATAGGTCTTCAGAGGGGGTGGCTCTTAGTGCAAGGAGGATGCTGTCTTAAACAATGTAGCTTAAATAAAAGAGGCAGGGGCTCCCAAAGAGCTCTGTGGTAAATGTGCTCCCTCCCTGCTGTTTTAGTGCAGACACCCAGTCCACTATTTAACCCATTATCCCCAGATGTAAGTTCTCATCATGAGGATTTTGATTAAACATTTCAAAAGGCTTCATTTTAGTAAGAAAAATATCACACTCTGTTTGTGCAGTTCCTTGGAGCTGTTTTTTGCAAGTAGCCAGAACAACAAACTCCTGTACGGCGAGCCACCCACGTCGCCTCGTGCCAGCCGCAAGTTCTCCTCTCCGCCTCCTCTCTCCATCACCAAGACGTCATCACCCAACCGCCGGCGCAAGCTTTCTCTCAACATCCCCATCATCACAGGGGGCAAAGCCCTCGACCTGGCTGCACTCAGCTGTTCCCCTAACGGCTATGCAATGCACTCCACTATGTCCCCCTTCAGCAAGACATCCCTCGACATCAATAAGCTCTATGTGTCCAGCACCATGGCCAGCAAAATCCCAGATGAGGGGGAGCCTAAGTCTGAAGGCAAAGCTGAAGAGACTGTCCTCAACAAGCAAGGTCAGAATTGCTGTCCAAAGGCACTTTCTGTTTTAATGAGCGTCATGTGTACAGCAACATGAATCCTACAATCCACTATGAGCTGCTTATTTAATATATGCAAAGCTTCTGCCTTGTTGACTTCAGTTTGCCCGTTTGGCTAATAATCTGCCAATAAAATGTAAAATCTAGAATAAGCTTATTTTATACATGGTTTTAAAAGAGTAATATGCATTAGTAATAGCTTGCTAAGTGTATTTAATGTAATGCTTTAACTCACATTTTCAAAAGTCCAAATTGTCTGCCTTCTAATAGTATTTATGTGTGTCATTCTTCTCTGTCCAGATCTATCAGTGAGAGAGGAGTGTGATGAAGACCCGGGTCAGTGTGAAGAGGCTGAAGCAGAAATGTCTCCTCCGAAGTCGCCATCAACCCCCAAGAATGTCAAGTCCAAAAACTCTGGTATGAATGTCTGCTGTTTAATGATTTTAACATTGTTTAAAAATGTTTTTGTACTTCCATTCAATTGATTACTAAATAGCTAAATTCTGAGCGGGGTACAATTTGACTGAGCAACAGTAGCAAGTACAATTCATCATTAGCAATACCCATTAATCTCTTGACAGTGATTATTTCTAGATGAATTAATTTCTAATGTAGATGAGGAGGTCACGTTCATGCACCTTATTAAATTCTCAAAGGTGGTATGTGTTTAATAACTACAATATATTAAATATTTTCTTTGTACACCATCAGTGGGAAATGTGACATCTTGAATTGAGTGAGTTATGAATATAGTTGAATACAACAAACCTATGAAGAAACTTATTTTAGTTCTGCCTATGACAAGTGTAACCATGGCCAAATAAGGTGTTGAGGGAAGCCACCCACAGCCTCATGGCCCTCCTCACTGAACGCAGAGAGGGAGAAACCACCCGTAGGTAGTCAAGCACAATACATCCCTAGTGAGCTCTCTTCCCACGGTGCTGGATACAAGGGAAGCCAGTGCTTTGTGGGAGTAGGTGGAAGGAAACCTTGTACCTTAGCAACCATGTGCGTGTACTTCGATGCCGCCCCCATATGAACAGAGATGAACAGAGAAGGAGGGAGAGCGAAGGAACAAGCATATACCTCAAGCTTCAGGACATAATGTGCTGTGGGTCTCTGTTAGTGCTCTGTTGCCCTCCGCTGGTCAACAATGTATTACACTTTGAAAATCCAACATACAAAACTATTTTATTGTCACTAAATGATATATATCATGATATCATATATCGTGGATACAGTTCCCTTAAATATTAAAGCATTTATTTATTTTAAAATATAATATTATTATCTATAATCTACAACATTAATAAAAATCTAACAATATTATTTATTAGCCTATATAACATTACATAACATTATCTTTGTTGTTTGAAATTGAATTTTGCTAACAAAATAGACATAAATTCATTCTTAATACTTGATTGTGAACTGGTCCTCTAAGAAATTAATATAATAACTCAATGTTTATATATGTGTGTTTCTATTTGTAGAGTTTTCTCTGTTTTCTTTCAACAACGGTATGGTAGTATCATCGTGTCGTGAGCTGGACAACAACCGCAGTGCCCTTTCAGCAGCTTCAGCCTTTGCCATCGCTACAGCAGGTGCCAATGAGGGAACACCAACCAAGGAAAAGTACAGACGCATGTCCTTGGCCAGCACAGGTCAGTCCTTCATGAGATACTAAACTCATTTCTACCCAATGTACATGCGAGTGCCTGATTCTGATCACGTGTTCAGGTTTTCCTACTGACCAGAGGAATGGAGACAAAGAGTTTGTCATCAGAAGAGCTGCGACTAACCGAGTCTTGAATGTATTGCGTCACTGGGTCTCCAAGCATTCACAAGTACATGATCTTTCAATTTAACTTCTTATAATTAACTGATATTGTTCTTAATATTTTGTAATTATGTGTGTGCTGTTTAACCTTTGTCATTGTTCATCTCTAGGACTTTGAGTTGAACACAGACCTGAAGATGCGTGTAATTGGCTTCCTGGAGGAGGTGATGCACGATCCAGAGCTCCTGACGCAGGAGAGAAAGGCTGCTGCTAACATCATAAGGTTGGTAGGCAACTCTCTACATTAGATGTGGTATTATATTAAAGGACTGAAATAAATATTTCAGGGTATAAAGCTGACTATGAAGATTGATTCTTGGAGAGCATTCAATGTAAAATATATGCCAAAGAAAAGATTTTTAATAACAAATTTAAACCTATAAGTTACATTAAAACCCATTTATTTTTGTACCCAGGACTCTGACCCAGGAGGACCCAGGAGACAGCCAGGTCAGCCTGGAGGAGATAATACAGACGGTGAGGGAAACGTTTTAACTGCTTGAATACTGCAGTTGTTCTGTAGAGTACTACTTACTTTTTACATTTTGTTTCTTTCTCAGGCCATGGAAGACAGTAAGACCGAGCCGTTTGAAAACCACTCAGCTTTGGAGATAGCAGAACAACTCACTCTTCTGGACCACCTGGTTTTTAAAGCAATCCCTTATCAGTGAGTATTAGCCTTAGTGGTTCATTCGTTGTTTTTACCCAAATTTAAAAACTGATAGGGAATGAACTGGATTATGAGAATTCTTTCTATTTCTACAGGGAGTTCTTTGGTCAGGGCTGGATGAAGGCTGACAAAAATGAAAGGACACCGTACATCATGAAGACAACAAAACATTTTAATGATGTAAAGTAATCTTTTACACTGGATAATGACAAATATTATACTTTATTTTACATATACATTATTGAGTGTTGCACGTTCTTTAAACAACCCTGTGATTTTTCTTTCTTTAGATCAGTAATAGGATCGCCACAGAGATCCTGCACTGGGATGATGTGAACATGAGGGTGGCTGTGATCGAGAAGTGGGTGGCAGTGGCCGATATCTGCCGCTGTCTCCACAACTACAACGCTGTTTTAGAGATCACATCTTCCCTCAATCGCAGCTCCATCTTTCGCCTCAAAAAGACCTGGCTCAAAGTCTCCAAACAGGTACTTCTTCAGTTCTAGATGTAACAGTAATATATATTTTTGTACAACTTAAACGTGCATTTTACTTATTACTAATTCTATGTGCTAGACAAAGACTGTGATTGACAAGTTACAAAAGCTGGTGTCATCTGAGGGACGATTCAAAAACCTTCGAGAAGCTTTAAAAAAGTATGGTTCTAATTAGCCTGAAGGAATGTAAACACATTTAAAACTGTATTAAGACATTACTGACCTCTGTATTTTTCTCAGCTGTGACCCTCCCTGTGTTCCTTATCTGGGAATGTATCTGACAGACCTGGCTTTTATTGAGGAGGGAACACCCAACTACACAGAGGACAACCTGGTTAACTTCTCCAAGATGAGAATGGTAAAAACACAATTTCTTTTTTTCCCAAAAAAATTTTAATTTACTCATATAACATTTCTTTTGTAGATTTCACACATCATCAGAGAAATACGTCAGTTTCAGCAAACTGCTTATAAAATTGATCATCAGCCAAAGGTTAGATATTCTTTAATATTTTCATTTTGTAGTTTTTTGTTTGGCATATTACTAATTTAAAGTTGGAGTGTCATATATAGTAGATGAAAGCTGATAGTGTTATATGGTTGTAGGTTGCTAAGTACCTGCTAGACAGCAGTACAGTGCTGGATGAGGAAAGCCTGTATGAAGCATCTCTGAAAATAGAGCCCAAAACTGCATCATGAAGATGAATGCTGTATCTACCTTCAATTGAAAATTTGTTTGCAGCTTATTAACTTCACCAAATGGACTAATGCACATAACACAACATGTCTGCAATGGCCTATTGTTTTACAATACTGCTAAAGACTAGTTAAGTCAAAGTCTTTTTGAAGCCTGTACTTTCAGTTACTGATCTCAATATAGATGGAAAATGAAACACTAAACTCATTTGTGTTGCAGACATGGTGTGTTAAGATAGTGTGTTTCTAATAACCTAATAACTGAGATGACATATTGTACATATTATATTATTATTTGTATTGATCACAATAGACTGTGCTCTCCTAGTCTGTGCTCCCTAATGGACCTGTTATGTATAATTGTTAGAAACCTGAGTAGTCCCACAGAGGTTTTATTTATTTATGGAGAGACTATTTGTCTTAAATGCCTCTTTAATTTGAAACAAGAGCAAAAAGTTAAAGAACATTTACAGTGGATGCTACTGTATATTTAGTCCAAAGGGGAAAGTGCAGTATACAGAAACATGCAGCTCAAGAATAAAGCTACTCCTTATTTTCAAATGCTTACCCTTAAAACAGGAGTGCCATAGTTTTTCCATAAATTTGACAATGTGATTATTTGTTTAAAACAAGCTTTTCAAATTGAAGCTTCATTCTTTAACCAGATCAAATATGTATGTTTTATATTAGCACGGAACAAAAGACTTTATAGCTAACCTAATACTGGGTCTATATTTCTGTTTGAACAAAGTTGTTTTCATGTTTTACTTTTCCAGTGGATCACATGTTGTATATATACTGTATAAGCACCAGATAATGTATGTAGCAAATACTCCCAACATTGAGCCACTTTAGAAAGTTGAATTCTTAGAATGGGGGCATTTTTTTTTCTTTTGTTAAACCCACTTTGGCCAGTGCATTATGAGTTTGCCTTATTACAAAATTGATTATATATACCACAGTTTAAAAACTATTTTGTTCTACAAATTGCCAATGAAACAAAAGTGTGTGCTGTGTACAAATTGTACAGGCAGTCTGAAGCTTTTCCTAATGTGCAATGTGTTGAAAACATACATATCTCTAGAAATGTGTTATCCTTATGATTGTTCAACTCTTTCTATGTACTATACTTTAAATCAACTTATAAGTGTAACACATTCTGTATCCTGTCTATTCAGATGTTTCAGCAGGAGCTATAGTAGTAATAATGTGCTTATTCTTTGAATATTTATATGTATTTTTACTGGCTTTGTATAGAAAAACTAAAGCTTGAGTGGCAGGCATGTGCCACTTTGACGTGTTGAAATCAGATCTATATAGAGCAGTATGTGTACTGTATTTAACCCTCTCCTTGCACACAAATCCTACCCTCCACAGGCACATCTGATGTTTGCAGTGAGCAATACCCAGTGCAATGACAAGTATCTTTAACTCTATCTCAACAGCTTGAGTAGTATTTCCAGTTTTGTACAAAAGTGTATTCTTTCCTGATTACCTCTTGTTAATAAATCTATTCTTTCTCAGGGGGAGAAGTGCTTACTTATGTTGACTTGTGCTTGACTCAGAAACACCACAACTAACACATATGGGACAATCTCTTTTATAGGCCTACACACAATTTGTTATCACACCAATTATTTTGTGAATTCATTTTGACACCGTGGTGAATAAAAAGAAGTAGGCCTGTATGATGGCATGTGTTTCTTTAAAAGCAGGAACATTAATTCCCATTTATTAGCCTGAATAGAGCCCATTTACAAAAGTAAAATAAGAGAAACTCATCTAGAAACAAAATGGTGATAGTAGAGCGTTCGTTCACCAACACAAAGGTCTCCCGTCTGAACCCCGCTCAGACCAGCGCGTCCTGTCGTTGTGTCCTTGGGCAACGCACTTCACCCAACTTGCATGCGAATAAATGCGGTATGCGAGTAAATGATTTGTGGGTTCAGCTGTATTTACCACCGGCGACCAGTGACGTGATATTATTCCTTTTTTCCTTCCTCGATACGTAACCATTTTTGTGACTCTACCACAAGAGGGAGGCATTTCGACGCTCAAAGAAACGCCCCCAGTTGATTGCAAAGAAAACCAGCCAATCCCCTGCACGCTTCATGTTGCACAATCCTCGCGGTCAGGGCGGGAGTTGTGAGTTACCAAAGCACCTCGCGGCGGAGTGTTGGGCTCATTTTCGCAGTGTTTGTGTTCACGCAGTTTATTTGTGCGACACATCAGCTTATATAGGCACAAACCTTCACAAGAGTAGGACGAAATGCCCACCAAACGCAGCAAACGAGAGGTTGCCAAGGTGAGTTAAACTTTTAGAAATCTATATTGTTTGAGACAACAACAATCGACTGATCATCAAAGTTTACCGGCTAATCATGATGCTTCCTGTTACACAACAAATTTAGCTTATAAAAGTTTAAATACGTTTATTCACTCACTTATTTACTATAGCCTATTATGATGTACCTTTTCTAGGACCTGACCCCAGAGAACCCGATGAGACGGTCATCTCGACAAACCCTGGTTCCCAAACGTCTTGAATACTCCCCGGAAGAAGAGAAGCCAGTCGAGACTCCCCGAAAGAAAAGGGTGAGTTTTACGTTCATTCGCTTCTCTCTTGTCTGTTCTCCTCCTGTTTGTAATGTTTACGTACCATACACCTCACTGGATCTGTTTTATCTACAGAGATTCGATTTAGATGGTGAAAAAACGCAAAAGCCCATCAAATCTGAAGAACAAACGAATGGGGGACTATCACCTTATGAACTAGAGCGTCTCGAAAACATCAAGAAGAACCAAGAGTTTCTGTCTTCTCTGAACATTTTTGAGGTCCATATTACTATGACTTTTGTAATACTAAAGATAACTGCACCAAACTGAAACTCTATCCTTTTGTTAGGTTTCAGAGGAATTAAAACAGTCTGTACGATCCAAACCCACGCAAAAGGGTCTAAAGAGGTATGTTACAAAACAAAAAAACAAAAAACAACTCAAATCACATCAAATTGTTCTGACACCTTCTTACAGGTCACAGACTGTTACACGTGAAGTGCTACCACCTCGTAGGTCCAAACGACTCCAGAATATAGAGGCTGTCCAAGTTGAATTGCCGAAAATTATAAATGAACATTTGGATGACTCTCGGGTTGGTATTGTACTTATGTGTATTTACTTATGTATATTTTATGTATTTGAGCAAATATCAAACTTTTTTCCAGCCCCACAAAAAAGCAGCTGGTCCTCTTCCTATGCTCCCAGTCAACGTGAGTGAAAACAAACTCCCTGAGGAACTCTTGGAGATTTGGACTGAGGAGGTCGGTATTTTCTGACATTGTTGATGGAAATGTGAAAATCTAACAAAAAATGTACAAGTTGCATTTTAATTTGCAGAGATCACCAAAAGAAAAGAATAAAAGAATGGACCTTAAACAGTAAGAACTTTTATTTATTCAAGATGAGGAGATATTACAGATTTGACTGTCATGTGTTCTTTTGCACTTTAGGTACCGCTCATCACTTTTGGACATGAAGATAACAGAGGACAGTGTGGCGAAAGTGGTTAAGGATCGCGTCTTCTCAGTTGCCTTTCACCCACACTGTAGCAGTGTGTTAATGGCAGCAGGGGACAAATGGGGGAGAGTTGGACTTTGGAGCTTGGTAAGGACTACATCTCTATTTAAAGGGCATATGACAGGTTAGACTACACATTTTGCTAAAACATAGTCAAGTTCGTTATATTTAAGATTTTTCCAAAAAACTTTCACTTTTGTTTTCCCAATTTGGCCTTTTCTTAGGTTTCAAATTTTACTTCCTGGTTGGAAAACATGACATCACATTAGGGAATGCTATAACCGTTATCTGAAAATACTCGTCTAATATGAGCAGAAATGATGTGACATGATCTGACAAATACACACATAAGAAAACACCTTTTATTTTATTGAAATCATGATAAAAGTGCATGCAAAATGTACTGACCTTTTGGAAAGAATTCTCCCTAGTTCGATGTCATCAATTAGTTTGAACTCTTTATTTCTTGTAATTTTCCAGTTATTTTTCCACTCTTCTTCAGAAATAGCTTCTTGATTTGTGTAAAACTATAATTTATATTTACAGTAGTTACAATTCACCAAAGTGAGGGAAAAAAAATCTTTCACATGCACTTTAAGCCATAAGCAAACCATTAAATTCAATGCAGATTTAAAAAAAAAATTTGTGCACAGTCTAGTGCGTGGGGTGACGATGGAGTTCTCCTGTTTGAAACACACACTCGTCCAGTCACTTGTATGGCATTCTCCCCGGGAAATCCCACAGACTTTTTAAGTACCAGCTACGATGGGTCAATGAGACATATGGACGTTGAGAAGGCTGTATTTGATGATGTAAGTATCAAAAGTGTTCAGGGAAGATATCCAGATATTATACTTTTATGTATTTTCTCATTTAGGTATATGATATTGATGATGGACTCAAGACATTTGACTTCCTGTCAAATGATGGCATGAACCTTGTAGTTGGGACCTGGTATGGAGACATTACAGTTGTTGATAGGCGAACTCCGGGGTAATGCCATTTACCAGGGTCAGTTAGTGAGAAGCTGTTATTCAACTTCTTAACCACTGTTTGGTTTTCCTGTAGAAACTCTCATGAGTCGCTCCACACACTGGACACCAAGACTGTGCGCTGTGTCAGTGTGCATCCATTACAGAAGCAGTACTTTGCTGTGGCAGAGAGCCAGTATGCATTTATTTTTCGGTCTTACGTTTTATTAATAATTACTGGTAATGACATTGTTTTTTGGGGTTTTTTTTGTCTCTAGGTTTGTAAGTATATATGATACTCGATTTCTGAAGAAGTCTAAATCCGTACCAGTTTGCCAGCTAGTGGGCCACTCCAAAAGCATATCCAGTGCTTATTTCTCTCCTGATTCTGGTAATCGCATTCTCACCACTTGTATGGATGACCGTATAAGGTAAGACTTTAAACTTGTATACGTATACTATGTTATTTTTCTTTTTTTCAGACCTAGAGTGTTATTTCATACCTGACAGTTTCGACTGCTCACTAGCGTCCTTCCTTGTATACGTATATATGGGGCTCTGATGACCTTCTTACAATGTATGTTAACGTTTGTCATTTTTACAGGATATATGACACATCTGTCATTACTAAGGCACCTTTACTCAAAACCATTAGGTACAACACACAAACTTACATGAAACTGTCTTTGAAGCCAAATAAGTGTATCTTTCTAACATGTTTTTTTTTTTTTTTTTTCCCCCCAGACATGACATGCAAACAGGCCGGTGGCTTACAAAGCTGTCTGCTGTGTGGGACCCTAAGCAGGAGGACTGCTTTGCAGTGGGATGTCTGTCCAGGCAGCGATGTGTGCAAGTGTATCATGAGAGCGGCCAGCTCCTGCACACCTTCTCAGACGAGGAGAATCTGAGCACTGTGCAGTCAGTAGTGGCCTTCCATCCCACCAGAAGTGTGCTGATGGGGGGCAATGCCTCCGGCCGACTGCATGTGTTCACTGGACAGATGGAGACTTTATGAATATTAACACTCCATGCACTTCTGTTTGTTTACAAAGTTAATAGACTTTTTTTGTTTTCTTTGGCAAATAAAATTCTAAGGTGCTGTCATATTTACCTTTTTTATTTGTTGTAACTGAATTAAATGATTTTATTCAGATTGCTGTAAATATTATTTGGATATAATTATTTTATCATAAAAGTCTGTTACCTTACCACCTTTTTAAAGGTATATGAATTGTTAAATATTTAAGGCCTCATATCAGTTCAAATGTAGTTTTTGCAGATTGCTAAATTATTCAGATTTATTTACAATTCCACAATTATTTTTTTTTTTTTGTCAGATTTTAATGTCTTCTCATTTTGTGATGATCCAACTAATACAACCACTACTATATGGTGCTTCTAAAATGTATAACATGCATAATAATTTACATATTTGCATGATATTGAGGTATTTTATATATAAATCAATATGTTTTAAAAGCTTATATTTGGGGTGGGTTCATATAAGTTTTTCTTCTTCCCACTCCTTTTCGAGAAATGTGCTTTTCTGTTGTTTACAATGCGTATGTAGTGTATATGATTATTGTTTCTCTCTTGGCACAAACGCGAAATAAAAATCAATCAATCACATAAGACTACAACCTGCTTGTCTCACTGATTGGCTACCAAGTTCCTTTAGGACTGTGCTGCATTAAACTTCTGTCTATATCGTGACAAGCGACACAATCGGGCCAAGTTACAAGGATCTGTGACTCCCAGTAAGAATGGATGTTCTTCAAGGCATTTTTGATTAATAGAATTTGTGTAATTGAATAAATCCAAAAATGGATATCGAGACAAGCAGGTCGTAAACTCTCAGAAAAGTTTTAAAAATTAAATGATCGTTCCTCTTCAAGTGGTTTTGGTGCTCTGATTAAGTGCATTGGGCTTCATTCATTAATCTTTTCTTTATTTCTTGATTTCATAACTTCCACTTAAAGAAGATGCTGAGAGAACTGCGAAATGACAGTTGCGGTTAATTCACCAACACCTCCACACTCATTTGATTAACATTTAATTTACATAGAAATATGTTATTATGTTTGGTTAAAAACGCCCTCTGAACTTCCATATATGGCCAATGTGGGTTTGGCATTATGCGCGATCGCGAACCTGTGGTAAATAGCGAGGGAAGGGGGCTGGAGTGGGGGTGCATAAGAGTGCGCTCTGGTCATCTTGGGTCAGGTTGTGATGGGGGTCACGAGGGTCACGAGGGTGATGAGTCCGGTGACCAGACGCAGGGCTGTGACAGAGGCCCATATGGAGAGCACTGAGGCTGGGACAGACTGAGGCTCACTGCAGCCTAAATAAATCATGGATCTATTAAAATAAATAGACTACATGATAAAACATCTTATAAATGTTATTGGATCACACAATAATGTGTTTATAAGAAATAATTTGAAAATAATATATAACTTACAGTTGTGGAGGAATTTGAATTTTTTTTATTCCATTATCAAAGTAATAATATTCTAAAACAGTAAATATTTTCTTCTGAGTGCTCCTGACTGTTCGTAGGATTTGTTCTTCCAGAAGAGCATTTTCAGGTAAGAAAACATTTTGTGAATGCCAAAAATGTTTGTAAGAAGGCCTTAAGTACAAATTTGTTCATGAGAACGTTTCATGAATGTGGCCCATTGTCCTTTTCAAGAGCAAACTAAACAAAGGGTTTGTGAATTACCATGGGTTTAGGTTAAATCTCTGTGAAAAAAGCTCTTAACTTTTATTTTATCCTGAAGAGAGTTGAGGTATGTATTTAAAGTTTGGTGAGCACATGCTTGCTTTGCACTGTATGCATTCAATCAAATGAAATCATTAGGCTGGTCAGGCTATTTCTGTCTTTCATTGCAAATAAAAACATCAACAGGACAGGAAAAACTACAATAAAAAACGGCTCTATTTTGTAAACTCTCATCATCCTGTCATACCATACCATCTGTTGATTTGTCAACTATGGAATGTTATTTTTAAGTTCGTAAAAGTATAGTCTTGTGTGAAGGTTTTAAATATTAGACTAAAGCTTTCACTATAGTTATATAGCAATAGTTTTAGGTTACTTAGTCTAAATGTCCTTATTTCTCCAAATGTATTTTATTATTTCATTTTAATCTGAAAATGTAATATACAAAATACAGGTAAATCTACATCTCTGCCTCATTTTAGTCCTTACATTTCATTGAAACCATGCAGCACCACATGAAAGTTTTATTAATTCCTATCAGTAGGCTTTCACATGAGGTACAACCACAGAGTTTGTTTGTTATAGCTTTCAAAATGACACGTGATAGTTCAATACATATGGTAGGCACTGTACATTAAACCATGTAGCTTTGGATTTTAACATTTGAAATAATGGTTCTCAATGCAGCTGACATAGCCACAATGCAAACTACAGTACTGTATGAAGTAATATCTTGAATATGGGAGCAACCACCCTTATACATTATATAACCCATTTTAATTCAGTTTTACAACAAAAGTGAGAAACAATAAATTATGCACTAATACTAAAAACCTGTGTGTTGTGCCCAGCATTTTCTTTGGTCGGCATGACAATGACTGCAGCAGGATGTAAACACATTTTCCTTAGGCTATACTCACGTGTATGTGAGTGAAAAGGCTTGTGACTGTATCACTGTAAAAGAGTTTATTACATGATGTCACTGGACTGTAAAGGAGTCTAAGACAATGGCTCATTGCTTAACAAAAGCCTATACAAGTAAATGCAAAGATAATAGCTATTGTCTGGACATAAGTTTTATGTGCTTTATAAATTAAACAAAATAGTTTCAGTTTGATGTAAATAATGAAGATTACTGTAGCATATATTTCAAAATAGTCAAATGAGAGACAAAGTGATATGTCTTTAGCACTTAACTGCTACTTCTCAAAACTACCTGCATTGCCTATTTCTGTACAAAGCAAAGTTAAAAGATCAAAGGTTGGCGATTTATGTGCTACCTTTATACTGGGCTTATAACTACACATAAAACTAAATACTTAACAATAAAATGTCTACCATGAGTAATTACTAGAACTATCAGTTTCATATTTGTTTGTAACCCACAGACACTCAAACAGCATTCATTCAAACGTAATATCTTTAAAAGACACATGACTCAACACAAAAAACATGAATTATTACAAAAATAAAGGCAACTATTTTAGACAGCTTTCTGTGATAAAATTAAATATTATCTTATGACAGTGAAAAAATAAAATACTTTAAATTCACCAAAATGTTAAAAGTAAAATGTGAGCTTCAATAGTATTATTTCTGATGTAATAAAATAAGTAGATCCCTCGTGCCCAGTGGCTGCAGGTCATTATGTCTTTCTTGTAAAATTGAATTTGACACAGAGTTGTTGATTGTTTACAGTATATAAGTGTAAACATTAGTTGTCCCTAATTGCTGATGAGGAAGCCACCCATCCACCTGAGCTTACAGGCAAACCAGCGGCGCAGCGGACAGAAGTACTCAATGTGGAACTGCTGAAATTCTGGAGTCTTACGGATGTCTCTGAGGAAGGCGATGTCCAGGTCCGACTCTGTGAGCATGATGAGGAGCAGCAGAAGAGCGAAGAGCAGCCCAATGGTCACCAAGAACAAGCGCAGCACACTCAGGATGAACTTATGCAGGTCCTCTACCTCACTGTTTGTCGTGGCTTTGGTGCTCACTGTTTTTAGTCCTCTTCTCCCTGATCTGGCCTGCGTGGCCTGGGCCTCTGAGGAGGCCCCAGCAACAGACTCTTTCTCCTCATCAATACTGCAGGGGGCGCCATTGAGGTGGCGAGCAGCAGGCATTTCCACCCCATGCTCAGCGATGGGTGTGGGCAGCACACTGTCTGAGGGACTGTAGGTCTCGTCAGAGATGACGGCTGACGTACTGGCTTCACCCCCTTCCACCAGCTGACCTCGAGACGACATGAAGGATTCACCGTGGGACACGGAACGCACAGGTGTGGAGTGTGCACTGTCACGGAGAGACTCCAGGCCTGCATCAGCACACACACACAGATGTTCATGCTATTACAGTATATGGCATAAGCATGAACATGTGGTATTGGTTCATAGTATATTTTCAGGGCATTTTGCTGTTTAGATTATGCCTAGATTCAAACTTTTTCACCCTCCAGAATTAGGTTATTACAGAGAAAAATGACATTTTTGATCCAGGACATCCTCAAATATCAAAGCTTTGGCATGAGCAAGACCAGCTATTCTTCATAAACAAAACATACACCTAACTAAGAGCCAAGTTTACCTGCAGGAGCAGTGTTTCTGTAGCCATGGCCTCGTGGATGAACAGTCATTCTGGAAGGTACTCTCAGGTTATGTCCATAATCTACACCAGCTTCAGTCGGGAGAAGAGGTAAGACCCCTATTCCTTTACCCAGCAACCTCGGCCCCAGAGCCAGTACACGCACCCTCACATCTCGGTAACAGTGATTGATCATACGCAGGTGGACATTCACCTTGGTCTGGATACGGATCAAGCACTTAACCATTTTCTATTATTTAGTTCTTGTACCAGCTTCTTGTTGTCTCACTGCTTTGTGTTCAGAGCATAGTCTGGTGTCACAATAATCCTGCCCACCTCACCCCCTCCCGTGTCAACTGTTACACACGGCCAGGCCCTGACAGCAGGAGCTATTTTCAGCCTGTTATTGTATTAGCAGTGGAAATACTGTGGCAGACAGGGACAAACTCAGGGTTTGTTCATTGTTGTGACTGTTCTCTCTACTGCTGAGAGGAACATGACTGATTCAGTTCTGACCGTAGACAGACTCACAGCTGCAGAGTTTCGTAAAAGGGTAATGGTCTGCAGGAGGAGGGGGACAGTGTCAGTGCCCTTTTAAAACTGACATCAAGACTTTTGTGTGATCAAAATCCCCAAGGGCCTCTAGACTCTGGTTTATATATGGATGGGTGATAGACTTGTATGTCACATTAGAAGGTGTCTGAGAGGCAAAGGTCACCCCTAAACATAGTGACCGCTCACATTAGTGTTTACCTTCCATAATAGAGATATGCACTGCTCTCCGTCTGGTTCTCGGCACACTGGTGAGGCGAGGTCCATGGGTGATGGATGGGCAGCTTCGGCTTGGGACC